TGCAACGGTGAAATATCATATTACATTTCTATTTTACATCGTGTTTTGACAAATTACAGTATCAACCTATGCGAAGATGTGATTTTACATATGCTTTGAAAAAACATGGATAATTCAGTTGAAAATTCATATACCGTGCTCGCTCACTCAGTCTATTTGCATTTCAAATTATATTTGGGAGGCATCCTTGCATTCTCGAGATGAAAGGACTTTTTCTAAAGACCTTACGTGTAAAAAAAAATAGAAACAATGTTTCGTGATATTTTCTGAAATATTGCGGAAGCAGTAAATTCACGCATAGCAATATGCAAAGTTGAATGTCATATTAATTTCGTAATAATTTATATCGCTCGTATAATATAATTTTTACAATTCTCCAAATTTATTCTGAGAGATCGGAGGGTTAATATTTCCCGTAATTTATTATCGTGACGATGCAACAAGAGTTCAGTAGGGTCAAGACCCTGATTCGTCTAAGATGATCGTCGGATTTCATAAAACATGATAGTGTAATTGGGATCAGCCCCTTTTCCCCAAAGGACGATATCATTGACAGCGAATGAACCTTCTGAGAGTTTTCGTACAACCCACTTTCTTATAAACGCCTCGTCATTCGTATCCAGAAAACGTACAGCATATGACAGGTTATCTCTTTCTTTTCCAGAAGAACATCTATCTTCCACAACTCTCCACAATAAAAAGTTATAAGCCAAGCCTTGTTAAAATTCGAGACGAAATTTCGGAAGATGTCTAAAAGAGACATTTAAGAGGGCGTCTGAAAAATAAGATGGCTTTTGAATCTTTGTATCGCATGGGAATGCGAGCAGCTGCGTGAAAAAAGTAGAGCGATTAACTACATCTTTGACATATGATAGATGGCAACATTATCAGGATAATTTTCTCCGTGTGAAAATTTACAAATTACTTATTTGAGGCTTACCTAAAGTACAAAAGAAGAACAGTTTTCCCCTCGAAAGTACGAGTAAGCGTATAAATCGAACGTAAGGAGGTCATGCAGACCTTTCTCGATCACTGTTCTTTGCTGTATAGCTTTGACGGCTGACTTCGTAAACGTTAGGTATAAAATCACCCAACTTGTAAGACGAATATGAAACAAGTTCTATTTTAAAAATGGAAGCTCATCATTTACATAACTAGCAGCTCAATTTTGTCTGACTCCAAAAATGAGGTAAAATTTTTTTACTCGACTTATGTTTCTACCAACGTCGTTTAACTTTAATCTTAGCTTAACTCACTCTTCGTCTTCTTCTAACTGTTCCTTTAGAAAAAGACAAAGAACGAATTAAGCTAAGATTAAAGTTAAGCGACATTGATAGAAACGATCATTATTCTTCAATATCAGCTGTCCACGTTAACGAAATCCCGAGTTTCAATGTTATATGTACGTATTACAAATTAAATGCCTGTAGGATCATCGAAGAAATCAACTTTTCGATATAAATTTCGATATAAATCTTTTTCCAAATAAATATTTGTTTTCGTAGTAAATTTCTAGATAGTTACTCTAAATCTTATCGTTTTGAAAATTTATGTTTATTGTGTATTTGATGTAATAATATAGGACATTATTGAAAACTCTATAAAACAATTTATCTCAATAATTAAATCTAAAAAAATATAAAATATAAAGATATAAAATATTATATAAAATATATAAAGATATATTATATTATAAATATAGTTATAAAATATATATTCGAATTATTGAAGTATTTTCTGTGAAAATTGCATACTAAAATATCTGCACGCTTTATGCACATATTATCAATCATACTTTCAATAAATTAAAAAAATGATTGCACTTTTTCATTTTCATATATAAATCAATTGAAAGCTTTAAATTAAATATAAGTGATTATACTAGTTGAAGTAAAAATTGCTGAATAAATTCAGTTTAGTAATACTATTATCGAAAAGCATAATATTTATAAGTAATTTCGTTATTATTAAAACTTTAATACTTTACCTAAATTTAAATCATAATTATACGTCATATATAAACTCGGTAGTATTGAAGGATTTAACTAAACTTAATTCAAATATCTTAACTAATCAAACTGTATTATAGTTGAAGCATGAATCATATGAGCAATACTATCCGTACTCATGTTCTTAAAATTTAAATCCCGAGCCATCTCGTGCGACTAGCAAATCCATTTATATATTTCTCAGAAAATTACTCTATAATAATAACATTTCCCTTTCAAGAATCAGCTTGGTACAACGCCAAGATGTAATATTATATTCGACCCTTACATTGATATCACAACTTGAGATTAAGCCGCAAGCCGGTTAAGTGGAAATCCTTGCGGTATAATCAGGCAAGGACCGAGCGTGGAAACTTGGAGAATCTGGAATTTGGGATGTGTATATTACATATAGTGCCTCTCTTAGTGTTCATCTCCGGATTAACATCTGCAGAGCAGCGGACAAAAAGCGTGTTGGGAAACGTCAAGGATATTCGCTTATGACGGTCAAAAGCTCTCTCTCTCTCCCTCTTTCTCTCTCTCTCTCTCTCTCTCTTTCTCTCTACATATTCCACCTTTACGCTAATAACAATGTCCTCATGGGTTGCAACTGCCTGCTGCACATATGCAGCACTACCTATCTCAAATACGAGACAATGTAGAACGTTTGAGGTCGAGAGATATCTTCGTATATGTGCACGAGATATGTCAGTTTTGTCGAGTATCACATTTTTAAAAAATCAACGGAATTGCCTCGGACATTTTCGAGAGACCGAATGTTTAATCTATATTGAAAAACAAAAAAATAACAAACACGTTTTCTATAAAAATAAAAATTGTGCTGCGAGTGAGATCGAAATATATATATATTCAATTTAAATCGATTATATATTTCTCGCATAAAAAATAATGTTTTATGTGTCATTTGTTTTTTATCATTCCTATCTTGAGAAAAGAAGTATATTTTCTTTAAAAAAGTTTAAATCTTTCTACTCGCCAACGTAGAATTGTGTACAGGGTAGTGTTGCGCACAAAATTCTTGTAGACAGAGAAAGAACAAAAGGAGCAGGATATAGAGAAATGCGATCAGACCGCGGGGACAAACTTCGTTCTGAACTTTATCTTTGAGAATAGAATGGTGGAATTGAAACGTCGGATATATATATAATAGACTAAAATGAAAAAAAAATATTCGTTCTTATTCAAGTAAGATCAAACTCAGATTCGATATCCTCGAGAAAGAGACTCGAAATTTTCTATCCGTAGAAAAAAATAATTCACACTCGGCTCTCGCAAGAGAAAACGTTACGATTCGTCAATTGGGAGTGGGTGGGGGGGAGAGACAAATTTTTGTGATCGATATTATCATTTTTAGGATTCGTATGCGTCATGAATGAACATGAGAATCATTTCAGTCAAAGACATAATCGTCTTTACACATTCTCCGCTGGGAAACACGATGATCTCTAGCGAATAGCCTATTGAAATGGGTCATGGACAGAGAAAAAAAAGCATTGTTCTTTATTCTATTCTTCCAATCCCATCATCCTGTTCTAAATACGGAATTTTTTTCGACCGCCTTGTTAGGCTTATTATATCATACGAGCGCAATGATTTATAATATTATTCTCCTTTATTGTAAATCACTTTAACGGGCACTGAGAATTAGCAGAAACATTTTGTCACAATTTAATCCGAAACTCTCGGTCTAATTTAATTTTTCTATCTCATTCTCTCTCTCTTAAATTTCTTGATAAATTTTCAACATTTAATACATATACAGTTATTAAAATCATTAGAAAAATTGTTTGCAATGACTCGCATAATCATGGATAAGTTTCTATTATTATTAGCATAATTATCTATTCCAATTATCTTAAGTTCATTAGGTGTTTGTTAAAGAAATTATACATATATACACACATATATAAGGATTTTAAACTCGTATAATTTTTATTAACGTCATGCCGTTGCTAGATATCATCCGCTTTTCCCGAGATTTTTCAAGAAAATGACTTGCACGAATACATCCGGACTTTGCACGAATACATTCATTCTCGGAGGTGTAAAGGTGCAATCACTCGGCGTTTGAAGAGAGGTCGCTGTAATTTCGCGGGAGACATGATTCTGACATACCACCGGGATTTGATCCTACCACATACAGTGTGTCTCGTGTGGAATAGCCTGACTAGTGGATATTAGAAAATGGATTTCGCGACCGCTTTCATCGCCTCATTGTCTGACCTTTCTGATCTTTCGCACGAACTTCTATTTGTCGAAATTGCAGGAAGACACGCTGCACCTCCTTTTTCGTTCTTATAGTACTGACAGTCTTTGATCGCAATCAGTAATAGGAGTTTTACGATTTGATCAGCCTTTCTCTCTTCCTTAAAAAAAAAAAAAAAAAAAAAAAAAAAAAAAAAAAAAATCAAATGTATATATTAATGCTCTCGTCTACGGCAAAGCTTAAAAGCTTTCAGAGGTGCATCAGTCGTGTAAACATGATTTTACTATCTATGATATTGTCATCCTATTTCTTTTCTTTTTTTGCGTCCCGTCTTCGCGTCTTTCTCGTTCGAGAATACATTTTTGCAACGCGTCTTGTCTCTGACGAAAAAAAACTGACTGATGTTCTATTTGATTTATTATCTTTTTACAGTCTGTCCTTAGCAAGGAAAATTTGTCAGAAAATTCATTTAATATTCTTCGACACATCGCGCATAATATCTTTCTCTTAGCAATTTAGCACCTAATTTTATTTTCTAGCGAAAGTAATAACGTAATTTTGAAATTTACGACATTATATATCATTAATTGTGTATTATAATAATTATTTAAAACTTTTTACTTATATATATATGTGCGAAAATATCTTAAATAAGATATTTCTATGTTATGTATATTTTAAAAAATTTTTTTATGTATATTTTTATAAACTTTTATAAACTTTTTTTTTTTATGTACTTTAGTTTTCTTTTTCGATTACAATTTTCAATGTGAATTTTGTTTTAGGTACATGGCCATCGTAAATCCTTTGAGACCACGTATGGGAAAAAAGGCAACGTTGTGCGTTGCAATCGTTATTTGGATCGTCGGGGCAATACTTTCTTTACCAATGCTGGTTTTCTACACTACTTACACCCAGAACTTTATGAATGGCGAAGTCCGCGTCATCTGCTACAGCGATTGGCCAAACAGAGATGATAATGGACTTAGTTACGACGAATATTTGTAAGTCAAATATTTTAATAATACGTATATTTGTAAACTCTTTATATATTTTATAAATTATTTAATTGCTTTTACGAAACCTATTTCTATATAATTGATATAGATACAAAAATTCCTTCACGATATTTATTGAACGACTTGTTTCGTTGCAAATGTGTTGCAATTATCTATGTCATAAACATAAAATCATTTGACGTATTTTACAATTAATTGTGCAATTGCAGTTTATGTCTTTAAATATATAAGCTCTAAATGTCACGCGTATCGGATAATGAGTCCTTTATTTCGCGAGGAATTTCTGGATTATCGCGCTGAACAAAGTTAATTCTAGTTTGGATCCGTAATTTGCGCTGTTTAGACATATCGCGAATCAAAATACTTATGCTCCATTCATACGATTAAATCGACTTTGATCGGGTTGTAATTATAGATCAAGATCTGTTTGTACGTTTGCGTTCTATACGATTATACATTGAGATACGGTCGCGAAAATGTTTCGTCAAGATAACGCGCTCGTTCCGAGGCAAGTTTCCTGTTTCCTAATTGAAAGATTCGGACACGTTATAGTTCGGAACCCATCCGGCAATCGTGCTTAGCACGTCATGTATAAAATCACGCACGTGGCCAGCGAATCTATCCTCGATATAGATGCGAACGGCACTTAATTTTCTAAATAATTCGCGTCACTTAATCGAGGCTTTCGCGATTCTAGATATCCATCGTTCTAAATCTCGATCCGGTCTAAGAATTTCTGCGAGCCTGCAATTGCGAGGCTCACGCTCACTACTCGAAGCTCGTTCATTTCGCTCTTCACTCGATTATCTTTAATCTGTAACGGCACCTTTGTTTCATCGATTGGCCAACAAAAACGTCTATCCAAATTGACCCCTCGAAACTCATCAGAGATTGAGACTTTCTTTAGATTCATCCGAGCAGTTCCATCATTTCCATCAATGAAAGCTTGTCTCTTTTAAGCTACGTGCACATTGACAAAAGATAATCCATAAAATAGAATTTATATTAGTACATAGAATTATATAGTTTCGTCATAAACCACATTTCATAAACTATATATAGATATACAGTCTCTCTGAGAGACTTTACGCTCTGAAAAATCACGCGGGACGTAAAACTTTATTTCACGTTGTATGAGTCATCGTAGATAATCGTAAAAACTAATAGAAAAGAGTTTCATCATCGCTCGACGTGATCATACTTGTAGAAGCATTTATTATATTTGCCTATGCGTATGTTTTTCGCTTTTTACGATCATCTCAAATGGATCATCCAAAAATTCACGCACTCGTAAACAAACGGTTTTTACTGAAAAACAATTTCTTTTTACGTTAAACGCATATCATTATTCAATAAAACACAATTCATGGCTTATCTGTTTTCTTTCTGCACGTAATTTCAAGATGCGATTTTCATATTCGAGCCAATCTGCATGTATTATCGTATAACTGGCTTACTCTTGATATTCCCAAGATTTTTCGAATACATTTCCTTCTTTCAGGCAAACGTTCCCAGGCTCTAATCCTCGCATTAAGCGCAGCGGAAGAAAATTTGTATAAATGTCGGTGGGAGAAACGTCTTTCACATCAATCGTTCCTCGAATATTCTGGGATTTTTGCAATCGTTCACCGCCATTAAACACGCTTACGATCGCTTTTTTGCCAGTCTTCTACGGTTTAACAAAATACGCGTCGGCGTGTTCTAAATCAAGATTACGCGAGCGAAAGCCGACGAATTTGCGCGTTGGCGGTTTTTATTCGTTTCGAATCAACACCAACATTCGCAAGCGAGAAATCGTGTGGGAGAGGAAATTTCAGCTAATGCGAGTCGCTCGCGACACCTCGTAATCTGATTTCACCGCGGGCATGATAATCCATTAATGAATTCATTATCATTTGTTAATAATTCTAACGCTGAGTACGTTTTAACCTATTCGTTCAGGCAGGCTAAATGTCCGCGATTGAATAATAACTATCGCTTTTATAGCGCGGCTTAATTAGTACAATTAATGCATGTGTAGATAGAAGTAGATTAGTTTTAATTAGGGGGAACATAGCGATCTTATTAATGGAATTATCGTTATATTTTCTCACGTTCAAAATACGAAAATTTTCAATAATAATTTAGTCAACGTGCTTCTTATGTTAACTTCTTTCTCACAATATGTGAGTTAAAATTACAAAATATGAATATATTTACAATTTAAAAATATGAATATATTTACTATTAAAAAATATGAATATATTTACTATTGAAAAATATGAATATATTTCTTACTTTTAAAATATTTGCTCATATAAAATGTTCGAATTTCTTGAATCTTTAAAATTTATCGCGCGCTCTTATCTCGCAAATTTTATCTACAAGTAATTGTTTTTTACAAACATTTTATATTATTCATTTAAATGCATGTCATAAATTTCGATAGCAATGCTGCAGATCGATACTCGTATCTCGTTAAAGATTAACAGCAATTATACGATGACTGTTAGTCTCGTGTAAATGATTGCACGCCTCGAAAACACGCTGCGATCTCAATTTAATCATCCGACCAATTGTAACTTAATAATACCATTGATATGCTTTAGTCGGCAAACAACAATCTGGGATGTACGCACACCGTTTATTGCTTCATTAGATCTAATAATATGTACACTCGCCATATCCCTCACCATAATATCTGTCACGTCACGCGATGATCGATAATCGGCTGATGAATTATTTTCATCGAAATCGACGCCTCCGAAAACGCGATTATGTGCGCTATAGGGATGATGCTTTTAAACGAAGGCATGATACCGCAATATTTTCATTCCCTTTGAGCATCGCGTGTCACGACCTCTTTCCGTTTAACGTAAATTTATTATGTCGAAAGTGTGCCACATTCGAAATAAAACACATGATTCAGCGTAAATATCGACACAGATAAAATTAGACTGTGAGCCATAAATTACACTGTTCAATATGATTAATGTTAAATATCTAATGACGTAAATCTAAAATTGAATTCCTTTAACGATAACTTCATTGCAATCTATTATTTTTACAACATTTTTAATCTCTGATTCAAGACTTCCGTAGTGCAATTAAACGTTAAATTACATTTTTCTGCTAAGGAAGAGTGAAATTAATTGAAAAACAGAATCTTTTCTACTTGTGTTTAAGCTCTTGGAGTTTTCAAGACTTACTTTAATTCTTGACGTTAAATTATATACATATATAAAATAATACGATTTTCTCAGCTTTCTAACTAAGGAACAGTCGACTCTAATTTTTTTCAAAAAGAGTGATTAGGAAGAACAACGCATTTCTCGGGACGTAAAAAATGGAAATTTGACTATTATGTCGAAAATAAATTTTACTTTTTAATCGATTTTTCAGATACAACGTTATTTTTATGATACTGACGTACTTTTTACCAATCGGATCCATGACATTCACCTATGCCAGAGTTGGTCTGGAATTGTGGGGCTCGCAGAGCATCGGCGAAGCCACAGCCAGACAGCTCGAGAACATTCGAAGCAAACGAAGGGTATGTATGGCGTGTATAAATAAAATAAATAAAATCCAGTACAATCAAGTGCTGAAATTGCTTTTGTTTCATCGAAAGAAACGTTTGATCGAAAGGTGATTTGCAGCAGTAAAAAAGTTTCCTCTCTTCTGTTCGATTTTTTTCACAAGAACGAGATATTCTATTAAAGGAAAAGTAAATTGTTCTCGATATTAATATTCATGAACGAAGGAGAAATAGATTGATAAGCTTCGTAAATTCGCGACAAAGTTTGTTATATGATACTTGAGTAATTAAGTAAAGTAAGCAATTAAAGTCAATGTCATACACACACACACACAAACACATACATACACATCTGTTACTTTTTTCTCCTTAACTTTCGAATAAATAAATCAAGAATACCTATAAATAAATAAGTTCATATATAACGCGAATGTTACTGTATTTTAACGATTCGCATTATTATTACAGCAGTGTTGTATCGTTGATTATCTTTATAATGATGTAAGAATACATATACGGTGAAAATAGTACTACGCATTATATCCGCAATGAACGAAGAGATACGACAGTAATCATATGACACATTTTACTCACAATCGTTCCGCTCCATTATCGTCAAAAAATATTTGATCGAAATCTTCGCTTTTTTATTTCCTTTGAAGGTATCAATGATCATTAAGTTGCGTTTATCTCTAACATTAACTTTTGGAAAACATTCCTGCTCGGATTAAGTTCCGAAAATTGTGACACTCCTATCAATATTTCAATAATGTAAAAATCGATTGTAAAACACGTGCGATGCCATGGATAATCACGTAATAAATATCAGATTCGGAAGTATATGCAGGGTGACATTAAGATTCGTATGAAACGATAACATTCCATAGCCTGATGTTATTGGCTTTATCCTCGTAAACTCGGCTTATCGATGCTGTTTTATTAGCTGTGGCGAAGGGTAGAAGGAAAAGAGAGTGAAAGAGAGAGAGAGGGTTGTACGATTTTCTTCCCTTATGAATAACATCAGCGATTCTGCAATAATATTCGTACAGCAGCGCGTTACACGTCGAAATTTGTCCCTGTCCTTTCTTATCTCTTAACGGACTCTATGATAATTTTTACTATTTGTATGATAGATAGATGGATTATACACACGGCTTTTTCGTCGAGATTGTACAGCTAAAAAACAGGTACTATCTATAGCGCAGATACAAAAATTATACACAGCAAAAGATACAGCAGGATGTTGCAAGTTATCCGAATCTACTGCGCAATTTTTTATATAGATTAGAGGCACTGTGAGAGACAAGTTTCATTTCAGAAACAATAATTAATACATATACAGGGTAATCTGTTGCCAAAAAAAAGCTTTTGTAGCTTACCTCGAGAAGGCTTTTCAAAATACTATAATAAAGTATTTTTTCATTGAGTACTTTTCGAATTATGAAATAATTTCTTAATTTTACATAAATCATAAAATATCTAGTAAAACATTCATTTTTCGATTATCTTACCTTAATACTTTTATGTACAAAATAATAAGAATATAGAAAAAATATGTAATTTGCAATTAACAATTACATTTTTTTTTTTGAAACAATTGTGTGTTTTCTTTACACCAATTGATTCCTCTCATTATTTTGTACATAAAAGTACTAAGCTAAGATAATCGAAAAATGAATATTTTATTAGATATTTTATGGTTTATGTAAAAATTAAGAAATCATTTCAAGCCTCGAAACTAAAAAAAAACTCGATGAAAAAATACTTTATTATAGTGTTTTGGAAGCTCTCGAGGTAAGCTACAAGAGGATTTTTTTGGCAACAGATTTCCCTGTATACTTCATTTATATATTTTCCGCGAACACATCTGTCAACATCTAAAAAGATTAGCTATATGGAGTTTAATATTGGCGATTATTTCATTTTCACATTTTGCTGCACGAGGCGAAATACCAAATGCCATTATGATGTAATGATGATTTTGCCACAACTAAGACGCCTTTCTAATTGAGTGCAATCTGCAATGTCCGAGCTTAATTATGGATCGAAGATCACACGTATATACGCGAGAGGGAACTGTGTGCAACTAGAACATCACAGAGACACAGGATTTGAATCTAAAGCCGTAACTTGTAATTAGACTGGCCAGCCTGCACCTTTGCTCGGTCACATCGCGAGCCTCTACTTCCGACGCTTTGACTTTAACTCTCGTCTACTCTCGGTCAATAAAGCTCGCAGGAGGAAGTTTCATCTATTCTCCACAGGCAATAATACGACTGGAACGCTTAGCTAATTCTGGTCGCGGGAAGAAAGAGAGAAAGGAAGGAAAGAGTAGTGCTCCCTCAAGATACAATCCTTTTGTTCTTCGAGAGAAAGATTCGTGTGATTCAACTCCCTCTCGCGAGATAAGCGACGAATATCGATCGTCTCGACAAATGTTCATTGTGTGACTTGTGTCTCGCGCCTACGATGGAAAAAGAATTACGAAGACACACATTTCGTACCTCCGTTTCTTGCCTTTATTTCACGAACGCAACAGCTGTGCGCCCTTTTAGATCAAAAAACATTTTACTCATGATAAATTGTAGTATAATAAATATATCATATCAAAAATTCGTTAACATTTGTGAGAGTACAATAATATGAGATATGAATACAATTATAATGCTAAAGTGCTATCTCTAATTGAATAGAGCGCTCGTGCGGGTGAGAAAATAAATAAAACGTAATTATTGGATATAAAAGTGATCGTCGTGTAATGGACGTATAATGAATTCGTCACAAGGAGCATAAATCAATATAAGAACAGTTGCATATGTTCTCAAATTCAAAAAGCTACAACCGTGTACAAGCTACAATTCGATGTTAACGCGTCATCGTTTTTATATAGAGAATACACTGTACGCATTTCTGTGAGAAATTTTAGAAATTTTCGTCGTAAAAAATGCCATACAATTTTTTTTATGAATATCTTTATTTTAAGAATATCTTTGTTCTAATTTGTAAAATCGTCAAATTAAAATTGGACTAGCTACCACGTTAAAAATCACGTTAGTTGACAATTTTGTCGCTTTCTTTTCACATTCTTAAAAAAAGGAAGGAATTTAAAAGAATATTTAAAAGAAATTATACGTTAGCACTCTGCATGTGCAACGAAATCCATTGCAAATGTAATCGATAATTAATCATCGTTACGACCTTGTTTTCTCTCAATAATAATATGCGCAAAGACGTCGATAATGATAATAAAAATAGCTACGTGTGCAAAACTTGATGAAGTGGAAAATGAATCAGCTATGACTCAGCCATATACATTTAAATTTCAGTTACTTAATCTTTCGTTATTTGATTTTTAATTATTTTTAATTTCCATTTCACGCGCAGAATTCTAAATTTTTTTATGCTCGCACATGTAAAATTGCACAAATAATAATGTGACCTATATTTATATTTTTCATAAAATTATACATTTAGAAAAAAATTGCAAAACTCAATTCGCGAAGAATGAAGATTAAATGTGGACGTTTATATCGTTTTATATTTTCAGACATATCTCTCTGATGAATATCATGTCATATAATAAAATATGCAGAAACTTTGGCTTGTATTTCGAATATGTAATTCATAAATCCATTATTATTGTACGTTTTCCGAGGGAAAAACTCTTCATTTCTGAGAATGCGCGGAAGAGAAGGGAGAATATATAACAATAAGCTGCGCGCGCGCGAGTTCAAGGAGAATCTAGTTTAAGCTACTCTCCTTGGCATGTTCAAGCGCGGTGGGAACCCCATTGGATTTCGATTAGACGACAAAAGGCGTCTGCTCTGCCATATTCGGAATCGCTGTTCCATTCCGTCACATATCGTATCGCAATGTTCCGACCGCCGATATACAGGCGTGCGGGTTTCACGTCCGTCACAGAGCTGGCCCGTGTATTACAAGTGGCACCCCGAGTCCTTATATAGACATACCGTATGATATGTGTGGACACAAACGGCCGGTATCTACTAGAGTAGAGTATCACAATAGCTGCGATATAATTATCATTTAAGACACAAATGTAATTTTTACACTTGTTATCTACATATATTTCCATCCTGAAAAAAATGCAATCTTCTCATATCTCTTTAATACTTAATTATATCTCAAATTTTCTCTCGAGATATAATTTGAAAACGGAAAGTGCTTCTTTCGGCGAAATTCGGTTTAGTCAAATGATATAAGCCGCCCCTTTCGTTAAATTTACATACGAATGTAGCAAAGCTAAAGCTTTTCATTATTGTATACTTTATATCTCCCTTCTCAATTCTTAAGTAATTGTCGGAAACGATGTTTTTAAAAAATTTAAAAGCTCTCACTCAATCATATGATATGATATTTGAAATGCATACGAAATATGTGTGGTTTTTAGAAAAGATGCACGCGAAACGTAAATCGAAAAAGGAAAAGTGCTTGAGCTCCTTGGAGTGTCGTTCTTAAATTTGAATTGCGAATATGTCTGAATGCACTTAAGTATGTACATTTGCAATGCTCCCATTAGCCTTTAAAATGTTATACATCAAATATCTTTTATGACACATATCTCTATAAAAATTATTGATTTCATGTCTCGTAAGTTCGTTAAATGAGGAAAAGGATAAGAATTAGATTTCTTTAAGTGCATGACTTTTAGACAATTTTTAGTGAGAAAATAATTCCCGAAATATTTCAACACTTTAACTAAAAATAAACATTAATTTCTTTTATAGTCAATTCGACAGTTACACTTTTTTACATAGTTATGTGTCACAAAGAAATGAATAGATATCCGAGATCATATCGGACATGCACTCAATTCACGTCAGGAAAATGCAAGGAATAAAAATGACTTGTAGGGTTTAAATTACGAACCCATGAGAATAATGGAGAAACTAATAGCGAGGTTAGCCTCTGACATTGTGTAGGAGAAAGGATAGATGTTAGTTAATATGACTAGTCGTGTTGAGACACACTGCTTCCCTTGACTTTAATTAGACTTACCCAACATCCGTTCTTCTTCCGGATAAGACACAGCGAATGAATATGCCTCGTGAGCTGAATTGTATGTCGGTCTTCCTCTTATTTTGAAAATCCTAATCAATGATTCGAAGATCAATTCTTTTCGCTTTCAACTGCCGGAAGAACTGCTCGGCACTGATAGAAATCCGCTAATTTTTCTCGCCATTCAGATCGCTTGGATTGTGGCGTTTTCTTTCTGAAAATAAACGCAATTATATGAGGACGATTAATCACTATATAATTCCGAACTGACTTTTCCGCGAATTCAAATTAAATTTCAAGGTGAAAAATTTCAGAATATTTTACATTATGCAGATATAATGCAAAATTATATGCTCTTTATTTATTTTTTCTCCCACGTACTTAACCATTAGTCATACTTGAAGAAAATATGAGTAAAATTATTAAAGAAAAAAACAAAGAAAAGAAAGAGGGAAGATAAATTATATAAGATAGTTTTTAAGCGCTATTCAAAATTCATTGTTTGCCGCGAACAAAATGTTAGCGCGATTACCGTGAATTTTTCTAGCGAGAAAGAAAAATGCAGATTCTTACTCGACGTCGTAGAAAATGTGGGATAGAAGCAACAAAAATGCTGAGTGTATCGCAAAGTCTCGCAGACACTTGTCGAAGGTCGACATAAATATTCGGACGGAATATCACAGTCCATTGCGCTTTAACAATTTTTCGAAAGTATTTGTAGCGCGATATTACAAAGTCATCTCTTCCATCGCAAATTGATGATGCGTATATATTGATTTTATTGTAGATTATAATACAATAAATCGTAATGCCTGTATCTGACTTGTTAGATATATACACACATGAGAAAAAAACTAAATCTATTTTTCAATTATCTAAGATAATGAAGTACAGGTTGTAACTATCCTAAGAAATCCAATTTAAGTTATTTCTCAAGTAGCTGTCTCCTGCAAGTTGTCTTCGTCTGATTACAAGAACTCTGCGCGAAATGGAATAGGTCGTTAATTTCAAAAGAAAAGAGAAAATCTCTCACCGAATAGACAAGAACGCAATATATAGTGCGGAAGAAAAAGATAAGAAAAAACATCGTAATAATAAAAGCGAAGACAGATTTCAAATATCTATTATCATAAATTTAATCATCTATGCAACTCTTCGTGCAAAAAGTTCATATTGAAAGATATTTATTATAATGTACATTTACGGATCAAAGCTACCAGGATCGAAACAAAGAGAACAATTTACCGAAGTACAATCGATAATTTTATTCTCGTGCTGCATTAATAATTAACGCGAAGCTTGTTAATTACCTCACTTTGCTAGGCGGAAAATTAGAAATGCTTGAATTGTCAATAACACTGCCATTTTCAACAGGCGGAACACCATTCTATACAACGATTTACAAAATGTCAAAGGAAAAGACTAGAAAAGAGAGAGCAGGAAATTCTATAAAAGATAGTGAATACAATTACCGTTTGTCGTATTGTCGCTTTGTAAATCTTGCATGTCATTTTTAACCATAATTAATCCATCTTGCGAATTCGCCTGTTATTTCTCGATATATTTCTCGATTTATTGTATATAGAATATTTAAAAGTTAAATATTTGCAGAAAGTTTCTGTTCGGAATGGAGTGTAACGCGAATGAAATCTAACAGGTGTTTTCATTAAAATAACTGGAAATTTAACAACATAGAATTATACATTTCATACATATCTCTATTATGCTTTATAAAATAATCGAGATCATTTATAAATTCATAAATTGTTTAACACACACACACACACCACACACACACACACACACCACACACACACACACACAGGAAATATATATATTATAATCTCTTCAATCAGATATGTAAAGCTTGCGATTATTTTGCTTTGTCTCTCTCGTCATATCATTCCAATAAAACAATTTAAATAATATATAATTATAATTTATAATAATAAACATAATAATAAGTTATATCAGAGACATATATATCTCTGATTATTTGTGACTGATTGTAAAATTTATTACAAAATTATGATATGATTAGTAAGAAATTCATCACATATTATTTACTTAATTTATTTCTGTAGATCTCTTAATTATTAAATATATGCAATATAAATTTTTTTATATACCACCGGTATATAAAACTTTGTTTTCTTACATTGACATCTCCATGGAAAATTGGAAAAACTTCATAGAGAATTAATCACAGATAAATCACCAATTTCTTATAATAATTTTTCTGATAGAAAATTATTTTTATATTTCAGGTCGTAAAAATGATGATAGTCGTAGTAGTAATATTCGCAGTATGTTGGCTTCCGTTTCATGTGTACTTCATAGTGACGTCCTATCTGCCAGAGATTACAAATGAACCATATATCCAGGAGGTTTTTCTGGGCATTTATTGGTTGGCAATGTCCAATAGCATGTACAATCCGATAATTTATTGTTGGATGAATACCAGGTAAGAGATATTTATGCTTTTCTACTCGATTACAAAAGTGCATCATCTTCTTGTTTCTCTCAACGATGTACATATATTTGTCTTTTATCAAATTCATGTACATTTCATAAAACATGTATCGTAATTTTAGTTTACGAAAATTAAATTTTCGTAATGCCGGTTATAACTCAAGATTTATTTTCCAGAAGTCTATCTTCTACTTCGTAAGATAAGCGAACGTAGACATAGTATCGACAAATCCTCTCATTTATTAACAGAGTTCGTAAAAGTTTCCTTCTCGCCATTTCAGATACCGCGCTTCACTTCGTAAGTTTGCCTTTATTGCGATATCGAGCCCCAACTCAAATTATTCTATGTTAATTAGCGCGATTTACACACACAAATTATAATTATAAGATTTCGATTTACAAAATATCGTTTTTAAATCGTTATAAAATTATATGTACATAATTAAATAATCCTCGCTCTTTGAAAGACTTTAAATTCCTTTATTAGATTATTATCACTTATATATATATATATATATATATATATATATATATATATATCGCGTTTATTAAAACTATTTATTTTCAATTCATTTTCAGATTCCATTCAGACTACATTCAAATTATGTACTATCTTTCAAACCACCGAGATAAAAATCTCATTAAGCTCGTATATTTGTAAAACTATAGAGATCTGTAGAAATAAATTAATCATTCATCGCGATCTTTGAATTTAGCTTCATTTTAAAGTTGTTAATTAAGAAAATCCGAGTGGCAATTCATTTCGCTGCCGCAGCCTCATCGAGAATGTTTGACGAACTGTCGGAAGTTAATCCAACGTAGCGTAGAAGATAAACTCATCTGGCTTTAGAGATACTTCTAGAAAGTAGATGGGAGACCGAAGTTATTAGGGAACATAGAAAATAACGCAGTGCGCTGCCATTAACGCCATTTACACAAACGCGACCCACTTTGAATACCGAGTATTTCCTTTCTTCTGGTTAATTGAAACGCGCGGTCAACTAGACCGAGATTCCGATAGAAAATATAAGCGATGTCCTCGCGGACGAGATGGATGGACTAGCACCGCAGAAATGTTGTTTCATATGCATGCATATATGTATACACTGTATATACTTTCATATGTATACATATATACGTTCACATGTATATATATATATATATATTTTATATATTATATATATATATATACTGATCGACACGTATATATCTGTGTATTCGTGTATACTCGTGTATACATCGTTAACCAAGGCAAAAGCCGCGAATTTTCAGCGAGAAATCGAAATAATTTCGCTTCGCCCGCAAATGAAAATATGAATAGAATGATGATCGACAATCGTAGCTCTGATCTCAAACATTTCGAACTTCTTTTACACGTCACACAGAGCGTATAATATTTTGTTTCCTTATATTAATATCGATATATTATAAAAATTTACAGTTCTGTAAAAGAATGTAATATGTCAAAAATAATAAAATACAAAATATATCTCACTGCGCGAGATACAAATAGGATTTCAATTTTCTAATGTGCTATCGACAAAATGTGTTTCGATCTGAATCATAAATATTCATATAGGAAGTAATATATGTATGTATTGTGACTCTTCGTTCAGACCACGATCTCAAAATGACAGTGAACAATAATAATAATATTGACGCGATATATGTTCTTTACGTAATAATTGGATTACAGAACCTGCTCTGTATTATTGAAGCGGGATATTTCCTCGGGGAAAATAAAATATCAGGCAATTTTTGTAACATGCATTTCTTAGAAGATTTCTTCTTTTGTGAGCGTGTTTTGTAACGTGTGAAAAGAAGACGGATCATGTAAGAAAACTTTGCGATCTACTGTTATAAAATTTTCCTTGAAAAAAATGATAATTTTTAGAATGCATTTCTTAACACTTTTTGATCATTTTTCTTTATTGTTCTTCGTGTAACATAAAAAAAACAAACTAGAAACAAGAAAACTAACTACAAGAAAACTTTTCAATTACCGCTATTATGTTACAATTTTTTTACGAGAAATAAAAGTGTCAAGATAAATTTATATATGATATACGATTTGTGTGATATGTGAACCACAAATGGCAGCGAGATATTTCTTCAGAGAAATTAAATGTTTTACATCTATATATATATATATATATATATATATATATATATATATATATATATATTATTTAGGTCATTCACATTTCTCGCGGGGATATTATAGGAAAAAAATGATCTATATGATCTAAATGATCTATATGAGAAAATTTTACGATCTATGTTACAACTTCTTTCCATGAGAAGTTAAACGGAAGTTATTATGCGATACACCGTTGAATCATATAATCTTAATTTATTATATAAAAAATCCAGTCAATTTTTTTTATATTTATATTTCCAGATTTTGAATATTCTAAAACAATATATAAAGAAATATAATACATATCCATGTGCAGTTATCTTCTAATATGCGATAAAATTTTTTAAGAGAAACAAAAATCACGTTTAGATCAAATTATCCATATATATCATGTGATATAGTATATAACGTATAAATTAATCTTGAAAATAAACTCGCAGGATTTTCTATATGCTAATGTATATTTTGTTACGTCGTAGATTTCGCCGTGGCTTCGCCCAGTTCTTTTTTTGGTGCCCATGGGTACGGATAACGACGGAACCGTCCCTATCACGTTCGGAGGCTGTGACATCCCGTTATAGCTGTACCGGTAGCCCGGACATGCATACCAGGATATCGCGGAACGGTACGTCTTCGTGCACCATCTCAGAGCTTGCGACATTCAGAAGCGTTTCATGATTAGAAGAGAATCGCAGCTTCACGAGCATACTAAAAAATTCGACGCGAAAAGATACGCGAGCCTCCCCCATAAATTTATACAATTTCCCTTATGACAACGTCGGCGATGATGGTGCAGTTGTCATAGTCAGCAATTACACTCAGATTTAGAGAAAATTTAATTTTTCATTAGAGACACAATTCATATTTAATATATATGAAATTTCTATTTTTTTACTCAATTTCCGAATTATTATCTATGCACTGAAATTCGTTAGGAAATGAGGATTGGATACGTTCAATGCTGAATGTTGTACAATGCAGGCTAAATTTGTTTCGCTTGGTTACGTATCGATCTTGACTCAGCAGCCTAGGCCAGGAAGGCAATAAGCGCGATGGAGAATAAACCGTAATTGTTATACGTTTTTGTTTGTTAATATCGTTAACTCGCGAGAGGTATATTTGCAAGATCGGGAATTGAACCTCTTGAAACCCTTGAACATCTAATTTCATATCAATTCACTTCTGAAGGGGTTAATTTTCAGCAGCAAAATTACATTAAAAGAAAGAAATATCCAAAATGTGATTTTTTAACACGTTATTTCTCAGAGAATTTCTTTTTTTTAATTAATAAGCAAATAAATTTTGTTCTATTTTTTGTTTCTATAAAATAACTGCTTTAAAAGGTAATTCGATAATTTGCAATATTCATAAATTCAAGACAGAAATCTATCGAAAAATATGTATATACTTCATATTCTAATATATGTATGTGTATTTTATATACATGAGTTTATTTTACCTTATTTCTACATATATTATACATAAAATTAAATAAATAAAATTCTATCTTGAATTTTAATGCAAATTATAAATTTATTTTTTGATCGCAAATTATAAATGATTTAATATCTATGTATTATAATTATATAATTTCTGAGATTATCTCATAAAACTCCAAGTTTATTTCGCACGATATATGTTTCATCTTATCAAATATTCTTGTCGCTTATGCTAAATTTCTTTTTTACACATGTTACAATTATACAGAATGCTAGCACTTAATAAATGCATATACCGTATATATATTTTTAGATTTTCACGCGATTCTCTAGTTACGAGGCAACAAACGATCACTCGCGGGCAAATTGCACCAGAACTTATGCATACGATTAAACACAACGGCACGAAACGATTCTATTAATTATCATAGTATAATTGGATTGTAGCACGATACGTCAGCAATCGATGTATCGAAGCAAACAAGCCCTATTTCTAATTCGATAGGCACGGTGCGCCTGCCGCTGCACCTGCAATCAATGAGAGGCGGAAACGACCGGCTGTTGGCTCATCATCGAGGTCATGGCAGAAAGTGGAGGACCTCGCAGACCAGAGGACACGTGTCCTGACAGGAGGAGGAAAATTCTCAGCAACAACGAGTACATACCTGGATATAAGAAACTATTTCTTTTCCTCTCTGTGTGCGCGATCCGCTGAATCACAGTTGCGGTTCATATCTCGAAAGGAGCGACATTTCTTGCAGCTGTCAACTAGTTATTCTGTAACACACCAAAGATAATGTTATTTTACTTCGAAAACTTTAACTCAGTTTTTGTCTGATCATCGCTAAGTGTGATATCTATGTTATACTATGTATTGTACAAAGCGTATAATTCAAAAACTGTAATTCTGTTGACATCATATTGAATTATCTCGCTACTAACGTATCATAAGTCATAATCACGTAAAGAAGATGGACGGACCAATATTGCAGTTTCCATAACATCAATACACAGTGTTTTTCAAAAACAAAAATATATGATTCGCGAATAATCAGTGTTAAGAGAGTGTAATGTTAAATTTAAAAAATAACGGTTTATAATGTATAACGTACATTACGTAATTGTCGTGTTCCTATGTGTTAATTATTCTGAAAAAGTGAAGAATTTCAAGGTAATGCTCGGTATAAGACTTAATCTTGTTGAAAGATAGGCACTTCTCTTCAATCCATAAGCTTAAGAATAAAGATATAAAAATTTCACATATATTTTACACTAACAATAAGTGAAAAATCAAACATGGAAACTTTTATTTAAAATTATATATGTATCTTCATAATCAAAATTGCAGTGAATTGAAACTTTTTGCTAATAAATCAAATATTGTAAATTATGTGAATATGCACACTAAATGTGGTTGTGAACACGTAAGTAATCTGTAGGTAATCAGCAAAACTCTCTTCTCATACTCTTCTCAAATATTACTTTTTATTTGCAAAAATCTTTCCCTCAATTTCAATCGCTTTCCTCATTCATGAAATAAATTTGAAAATAGTACATTTTTCTATTTAGATATTTTGATATTGTAAAGCCTGTCTCTAAAATTTTTAGAGACAAGCTTTACGAAGGCTTTACGACAGGCTTACGATAAACTTTAGCATAAAAATGTTATTATATTATAATATTAAAATATAACTATTTTTTTTATTCAATCATTGTAATTTGCATAATATTGCAAAGAAACTTCATTTTAATGTATATCTCTTTTAGATATATATGATTACTCTATTCATTAATTTTCGGTTTAAACTATTTAAATATTAATGAATTCGGAAAAATGTAACTTCTCTTTATGATGGATGTGTTTTATTTAGACTTTCAGATGTCGGAGCAAGAAATACTCTGGGAAAACAAACGCTTTTTAAGATACGATTTAGATGTACATATTACACGTCACATAATAATATAATTCTAATAAAAAGTATATGATTAAGAAAATATTCAAAATCGTGATTATTTATGAGTAAGAAGATAACAAACAAACAGCTAAAAGATCATATTATCAAAAAAAAGCGAGCACGCTTCATCTCTCTGAACGGTCCAAAACAGTTCTATACATAAATGACGCGCTAAAACAATAAACAAGATATACTCGGAACCAAAAAACTTTTCATACCACTACTGTTGTGATATTTATAACTCGCTTTTTGTATCAACACTATTTTAGCAATTCGCAAATCTCTATCTAGATAAAATTTATCCTAAATAAAAATAGGCGAATAAGAGAGAGACTTTTATTTAAAATTCTTCTCCTTTGAAAAATATAAACTCCATCGTAATTTAAGAAAGAAAATTTTACGAATCGATATATTATTCACATACATTTTTAAAAAATATTTGAAAAAATTAGAAAATTATTTCTTGTTATCGAGAAATGCAATCGAATCATACATGATAAAAAAGAATCATAGATTATATATCTACATTAATATAATGTATATTTAATATCATATCTCAGAGACCATTGAAAAATATAAGCACGTCATAGAATAAACAATTAAATGATGTTCAAAGCTGCGCTAGTAAAATAGCGATTAAATGTAATGCAAGAAGGTATAGATTCTAGTAATCAGTAATTCTAGAATCATGTAAAAACACAGTTTGCACGAAAAAATATTTATTCTCTTTATTCATCTGGTATGCTATAGCTCCGCATATCTATAATCATGTCTAATAGTCTGCTATGATTGTATCCTGGAAAATGCGTAAATAAAATGTCTAATTTTTTATGTACCTGCTATATTTTGAATTAATGTGACGAAATAACTGTGTTTGTGCTAAGATATAAACGATTTCTATTATCAAGATAAATTACTATATACGACATGTAATTATCAGGTGATTTCTTTATATATTCAAATGAATAATAAAACGCACCATTCAATTTATTTTATTATCAAATAATATAACTAATTCATTTTTCTATCATTCTATAAAATAAAATGTTCTATAAAATAAAAAGTTTTTACATTTTCTTCTAGATCTTTATTTAAAATTTTATCTAAAAAATAATGCATGTGTGAGATAAAAATAGCTGAAAGATGAGATAACAAATGATATGATTTAGATTTATGTCACGTTTCACATGTTTATTTTATATACATTGTGTAAAACGAATATATTTAATTTATGTAAATACCTTGCATCTATTTCAGTTAACATAAATATATAATACAATTTATAATATCTTATTTTTTCGGCAAATAATTTAAGTGTATTTTGCCATCGTTTTTATTAATTTTTTCCCAAGCTGTGCATTGAAATGTGCTCATATCCATTTTATCTATATATAGTTCTCCCTAAAAAATAACAAAATTACGTAATATATTTTTAATCTTTCACAATCTTATTTTTAATCTTTTATATACAATTCTATATAATATTTTAGCATTATATATGTATATAAAATTTTTTTCTCTTTTCTAAATCTTACTTGTAAGTGATCATATTCGTGTTGTGCTATTCTAGCAGACCATCCACGTCCTCTCCATGTAAATTGCTCAGCGGAAGCATTCAAAGCTGTAATTTCTATTTCATAAGCTCTGGGCACAGCAGCAGAATATCCACGAACACTCTCACATCCTTCATACAAGATGATTGGTGTATGATCTATTATTTTTAATTCAGGGTTGATGAAAATTGTCACTGGAATGACTTCCATCTCATAGGCTTTCTTGATAACCTCGTCACTAGTTTTCATATGTTCCATTGTATGTTCTATAGCAAATATTTGCCATGGAAGTCCAATTTGAGGTCCGGACATACCACATGCATCATAACTCCTCATAATGTTTATCAAATGTGTGATTACCTGCGAATGATTAATAGTGATACAATATTGTTTTTCATATGTTATATTGAGAATTGTGAAATTTTTTATTTATTCTAATAAAACAAATTCTTATAACATTAAGAAAGAAAATATGTAGTAAAATCACGTAAGAAATAATTTGACTATAAAAAAAAATAGATAGAAAAAATATGATTTTTGTACTAACTTGCAAACTATTTTGATATTATTTATAAAAAAAGTAATTATTTAACTGAAAAAACAAGGTATGATTCCAGAAAACATATATAAAACATTTTTAGAATTTTCTCTCTAGCCTCTCTATAATTATAGAAATTATTAAACAAAATATATTAAAACATTAGAATAATTAAATCTTGAGTGATTTTGAGAATTAATCTTGATTTTATTCATTAATCTTGTACACAATTTAATATAAATCATTTTTTGAACATTTTATGTTTATTTAAATTAATGAATGTATAAGATAATGTATCTCGAAGGAGAAAGAGTTTCTTACTTTTTCTTAAACTTTTTTACATATCTTTTCATTTACTTAAACATAAGCATACTACTTTATATTATTTTGTATTAACATGATATCTATTTTTTTAAACTCTATGGTTTTGAATATGCAAAATGAATTTATTTTATGAATTTAACTATATAGTATTTTTCTTATACACAAGATTCTTTTTGTTTTCATATATTTTGTATATTGTTTTTATATATTGTTTTATTTATCTTAGATTTATTATCATCACAGCCAAATATCATTATATAATATATATATATATATTCATATTATATCTATTTTTTTTAAATTACAAGATTTTGCAATATAATATATAAATAGATTTAAAAAAATAGATATATGATGTATATTAAAATATTATAATATTATATATTTGAATCAAGATATTAAAGAATACAGAAAACTCTCTTTCTTTTTGTCTAATACAATATCTTTTCTATATTAATTAATGTAAATAAACATATATTTATGTTGCGTGCATAAATATTATTTTTTTCTTACATATATTTTTTAGATATATTTTTCTTACATATATTTTTCAGATTTACTTTCATGTACTATTGTACCTTACGATATTTTATTCTATATTTAAAAACTCAAAAAACATCTACTTACTTTTATAAAACTAATATTACAATACCTTTTGAAAATCCTCCAATTTTATGACTTCTGGTTCTATCTTCATTGCATGGCCACGTAGAACAGGATCACCAATTTGACAAACGTGTTTATACGGTAACTTTTTGGAATCCGAGCTCCAGAAATGATTTAATGTTTCTTTCAGTTTATGAAAACTTACAAATCGTGCATTGTTTTTTCTAATAACAATAGCACGCGAGGCCACATTAGCGAGATATGATCGAAACATTGTATCCTATCACGCTTTTAACGTATTTTTTAGTAGTAACCTAAAATTTAGGTTATCACGCGTCTACGACGAATATTCTCACTATTATGTTTCTCATCCTGATGACGAAATATTCACGCATGCGCCACGCAAAGCGATAATTAGAGGATGGTATGACTGATCGTCGACTTATAAAATAATGAAATTGCATCAACTCAAATTTAACCATACAAAACACAAATTTATGTACAAAACATCTTTTATTATATTCAGTTTCAGAATAAATATACACGTACCTGACAATAATCGACATCTTCGCACTCCTTCGCCGAAAAGATATCTTGAAGTAAAGGATGGAGATGATCGATCGATTCTCGATACGAAAATGACGATCGGAGAATGACACGACGAAACCGATCGTAAATACCAAAGTCGTGACATACATGACGTATAGCAACAAGATTATGTATATATCTTGAAGACGAGCACTTTATGCGACACTTACTGTATTTTTTCAAACGAAATTTACGTTGAAACAAACGCGAGTAGCACTGAACGATTTGAAGTTCGCGATCGCGGCGCGTTTAGTGATCATAGAAGAACGACTTGATCTTCTCAGTATAGAGAAGACTGAGAGGTGTCATGGCCTACTTTTAGGTAATCCCTGAAAGCGATACTCCCTCTATGGATATTGAAAACGTGGACATGAACTACAAAGCCAAAGTCCATGAATGTTCTCAGAGGGTAATATATAATGTGCACAAATTCTGGTTTTGTTCCGTGCTATATGTACGAAATGTGGGTAGCACCAGTGCTGTATAACAATTAGATACTTATGTATATAAATTGATAGTAAATAAATTATTCAATCACAAAATATACTGTAATATTCAAAGATGAAATAAATATTTTTCTATACTCATTGTCATATTTATATCTTTTTATTTACAAAACACAACCGTATTTCTATCTTATTAAATGGTGCAGAGACGATCATCAATGATCGATATTTAATCATTTTTTTTTGTAACAATCCAAAACATAGAAGAATTGTCACTTATTCTTAAGAGATTTACTGATACAAACACATTTATTTCTATGTCCCGAATTTATTGATCAAAATAATCGGAGCAGAGTTTGATAGATAATCAATAATCATAAGCGCCCGATTTCCACAATCCAATGTAAAATTATTTCTTGAGCATTTCATGAACAATCTTTGTATATTATTGCTAAGTTAGAATTATATATTTAACAATATGATACACTAGAAAAGAACGATTAAGAGCCACCGCGGATGGTAGTGCGTATTCTTAAAAAAAAAAAAAAAAATACGCACTACCATCCGCGGTGGCTCTTAATCGTTCTTTTCTAGTGTATCGTATTGTTAAATACATAAAGAGCCTAATTCTTTATCAATTTACTAGAATTATATATGTTGATTTTAATTTTTCTCTTATTTTAAAAACTTTTATTTGATCTTTTTCTCATCGCAAGATTAATTATCCTCACGCAAAATTAACTATCAAAGTTACATTCTTGGTTCAATATGCAGATAAAAATCGATAAACAAATCGAGTTTTTTGTCATTTGAAGATGTTGTACATCAGCAATTAAAGATAATTGGCTAAAATATAAAATGAACATTTATTATATGTTTAAACTATATCATCGAGTTTTTTTATTGCTCACACACAATAAAATTAATTTATTCATTCACATAAATTTTTTCATATATTTGTTTATTTTCATTGGCGAATATATTTGAATATAGTGGATACAATTATCAAAGTCTTTTTGAAAATCAATTAATTGAAGACACGCTTTATCAGTGTTGAAATTATTGCGATTATTCGTGACAGTAAAATTTCGATTAGATACATTAGTGTAACAACTGTAGTAAGATAATTAATTACAACAATATTAAGTACAAACATTGTTAATCAATTCACAAACGAATGAACATGACTGAAATTAATCTAATTAGTGAATATTCTTTTTGTGTCAGAATACCCGTGTATTATATTAATCACATTATACAACATCTGATTCAACTTAACTCATAATGATAAAAATACAATATTTATACCGGAGTGATAAATTAAATATGAAATAATTGTTTTAATAAAAAATAAATAAAAAAATAACTAAAATCTAGACGATAAACCAATCTAACTTTTTTGAAATTCTCACAAATTATTTTTAGGAAATTATAGAATTTGTTCAAAAATCGGTTTTTTCTGTAAAGATGCAATCGCAGATAATATATAAACTACAAAACAGAGAAAAAGAAAAAATATGACTGAGAGAAATTATATACTATATACTATATGTGTATGTGTGTGTGTGCGCGTGTGCGTGTGCGTGCGCGTGCGCGTGTGCGTGCGCGTGTGCGTGTGCGTGTGCGTGTGCGTGTGCGTGCGTGTGCGTGTGCGTGTGCGTGTGTGTGTGTGTGTGTGTGTGCGCGCGCGCGCGCGCGCGCGCGTGTGTGTGTGTGTATACACAAACATATAATTCAGCTTTTCATATCAATTAAATTTAAATTTTATTTATCCTATCGATTTAATTGTTGTGTGCTTTTATTTTTATGATATATATTATTAATATTTTGTTATTAAAATAATTAATCGATATTCGTGTAGCGGAAATGTTCACAAATTATTTATATTCTTTTAAATCTTGGCTATGCAGTGGTAATGCACATATTTGCTCGATGTTTTGTGATGTTCAAACGCATTAATTTTATATCATTTAATCATTATATATAAAAATACAATATACATAGTATAGCGTATATGTATATGCATAGCAATAACAATGAAAATATTCGAAAAAATTCCGTAATCGGAAAAAATTATAAAAATACATGTTAAGAAATGGATATTTACTGGTATATTGATTATTACTTTGGCGTGAAATGGATGAATATGTCTTCACTTGGTCGGAAAATAAGGGTGGCCCCGTATTTAATTGTATCTAGGTTTTTGACACTTTTTACTCTCCATTTTCTTAGAATAGCTGTTAATATTGTTTTCTCTTCGAGTAAAGCAAATTTCTGACCGATACAGTTTCTTGGTCCGGCGCTGAATGGAATGTAGGCATACGGATTTCTATTTAAATTTTCCGGAAGAAACCGATCTGGATCGAATTTGAATGGATCTGGCCAAACTTCCGGATTTCTGTGCACTAATGCGATTGCCAATACAACTGTAATACCTTTTGGAAACGTATAATTACCTAAAAAAATAGATTGTTATAGATTGTATTCTATTCCCTTTTAATATACATAGAGATTGTGTATTTTGTTTCTTCCTCACACATGCATACACAAAAGTTTATTGATAAATTACACACACACACACAAATGTTTTTAATAAAAAAATTATATTTTTATAATTTACATTATAAAGATTGTGTTTGTGTGTAAAATCCATAATTAAATTTCGTGAAAGAAGAAAGAAGAATTCTATTCATACAAAGATATTTGAAGAATTAACATGCAGAATATAAAATGATAAATAGAATTTTATTATTTCTTTTATATTATTTTATTATTTCTTGCATTTTATCGTAAATTAAAGACTACCTAAAGTAGATTTTTTTAACTATTAATCTTTTATTGAATTGTTTATTTATCTTATAATAAATAAAAAAGGTATCTCTCTCAGAAATACAGTATTTTTATCACGTAAGTGAATGATAAAATATCATTTAATAACAAAATTTACAAATTTATAAACTAATGTGAAGCTCTTACGATTCCTTTCATCTTAATATTAATAAAGTTTTATCATACCTATTTTTACATCTTCCGATAATTTCCTTGTGACTAAGGGTACACTTGGAAATATTCTGAGCGTTTCCTTTATGATCCTATCAAGATACTTTAATTGCGATAGTTCATTTATACTGGCTGGTGTTTCTGAATCTTTGAAAACTTCATTGAGTTCTTCATGAACTTTTTCTTGATGCTCTAGATTATTGCCCAAAAGAAAGAGCGTCCAGGTTATCGCAACCGCAGTTGTGTCGTGACCCTATATTATTATATATCTTTACTATTTTATAGTACTTATTTATAATTATATTATATTATTAAATCTGGCAAGAAAGAATTTTGCTTTAAATTTCAAAGATTTTTTTCTCTCACCTCGAACATGAATGTGTCGACTTGTGCCCTCAATTCATCATCGGTTAATGGAGCTTCGTCCTTTTCATTTTGATCTAGTAATAGATCTAGAAAAGCTTTCCTTTTCCGCTTACCTAACAAAACAAATTTCATAAGAATATTTCAAAAAATTTATTAACATAAGCTATTAAAACATATATATATATATATATATATATATATATATATATATATATATAATTATAATTTTATAATCACCTATACCAAGTTCATCATTTTTATTTTCCGCTTTGGCAAAATCGTTTTGCAATCGTGTAATTTTTTTCTTACGTATTACCTGAAATTTAGTATTTCTCAGTTGTAAACTTTGGATTCATCCAAACAAAAAATAGAGTCAACAGTGAATTTAATAAAGTTCTACTGATATCTAATACATTATAATGTATTATTAGCATTTTTTTTCCACGTACATCTCCTGTAAATTTATGTATTGTATTAAGTCCTGATTTATATTTCTTTCCTGAAGGTACTAAGCCATACAACCAATCTGACCATAACCATGGTTGAAATAATCGATCTAATACTAATTTAGAACCTCTGAAAGTACAATTAAAAACTTAATATAACAGAATATATTTGTTATTATATTAATTAATTAATTAAAGTGTGCTGTTGATTCTTAAAAAAATTTTTTTAAATAGATTAATGTTACCAATTATATTATTATTAATAAAATAATGTAACTCATGACTTTTCGAACCTATGTATTGTTGCGGTATACTTGGTTTCATATTCTTGAGCATGTACATCCACACCCATTGCCGTTTCTATAAATAGTGACATTTCATAAACCTCTCAAAATATTTTTACATTATTTATTCCAGAAAAAAATAAAATTATTATTTGTAACTAGCAAAAATAATATAGAATTGAATAATTAATTTTGTTACACAGAAATTTATACCAGAAATTAATAACATAAAATTTTGCTTCTATTTGATTTATTTAATGTTTTTGCTGTTATTTTACTACGTTGTAGATAAGTCTTATATTTATTCAAATATAATTTATTCAAATATTAAATAAATTTCGGTTTTTTACATGTATATATACAATGTCTGAAATTAAAATTATACTGTATCGTAATCAATGATTATACAAACACGGAAAAAAAGAATTTTGCTGTTACAGCAAAATCATTATGTTGCAGCTACATATTCAATAAACTTCACTTCAAAAAAATAAATGACATTCAATGCAGAAGTTAATTATTTGATATAAAATTTACAGATAATTTTCAGAACAGAAAGATCGTGTGTGTATGATTAAATCTGAAAGCAAAAAATTTAATATTAAAGTAAAATAAACTAGTTTATTAATTAAATTTAATATTAAAGTAAAATAAACTAGTTTTCCAGTAATTTAACTAATGTTTTGATAGCAAAATAAATGGATAAATAGATAAATAAACAATTTATTATAATAAACTTGCGATTCAACAAAATTTAATCTATTCGACAAGTATATTCCCGTTATAGCTCATAATAGCTTGCTACGGCAGTATAAAATATACTACATGAACAATATTACTTTATGTCCAAGAAATATTATGTCATAATAATATATAAATTTATTACCACATATAACATCGAGAGCAACATTATTAGCGAAAGGAAAAATATTGATAGCCTTCTTTGGATTCTTTGCTATCTCCTTCTCGAGACATTTTATTAAGATTTCTGCTTTTTCGGACATAACTACAGCAAATTGCTCTAATATACTAAAATGGAATGTTGGTCCGATCAATTTTCTGTCATGGAACCATTGTTTTCCTGAAGTAGTATCAAACAGTACATTTACTTATTAAAAATATCGTATGAAAGAGATAAATATACGCACAAATATTCGTAAATAAGTAAAAATGAACAAAATATATTACACATTTTTTTATTTTGTCTTTTTTGCATATCGCCAGTGAATATTTATAATCTTGGATAAGAAAAATTGCACAAACAACTTAGTAATGAAGCTTGCCAATTTGAATAATTAATATTAACATAAAATCAGTCACATAAATTACATAAGTAATTGGAGATATGGATGTGAAAAAAATGTGTTTTCTTTTTTTTATCAAGATATATATATATATATATATATATATATATATATATATATACAAATTTGCATAGTTATATTAGATTAAAATTTTACTTTTTCGACTCTTTAGTCTTTTTCGTATTTTTAGTTTATTTAAAATCTTTTCGAGAATAATCATACATCAAAAATGCATAATGTAATATAAACTCAAATTACTTTTCATGTTTCAACTAGATATTAAAAATGTTCTATGAAAAATAGATTGAAAAAGATTATGATTTACGTGTAGAAGTTAGAAGTCCTTTGCCTAACCAAGATTCCATCAAATTATATGGATGTCCTTTGTCGATATTTACTGTGCTATGCAGAATAACCTGCAAAAATGTATTTGAAAAAAATAGAACAATGTAATAATTTATTATTTATTATATAAGATGCCTTTTTCAAATTTTGAATTTTTTCGAAAACAGCCTCGCATATAAAAATTTTTTTTCATATTTTCAATTCATTTGTTTATGTTATTTCATTACGTTTTTGTCAATGTATCATTATATTAAGAAATATTCTATATAATATTTTAAAGATGAAACCAATAATTAAGACGAGATTGCTAAAGTGCGTAGATTGCTAACATCAATTTAAAAAATTTAACTTTGATCGTGAACTATCTGCCTCAAAAAGTGAATCAGTTTGTTTGATAATGCTAGTAAAATAAAAGACAAATAAAATAGACGCATGCATCTCTTAGTCTAATAATAAATCTTCTGTTTAATAGTCTTGATACATAGTGTTAGGACTGTTTATGCGGATATCAACTAGAAAATTTAACTTTGATCGTGAACTGTTTTCCTTTTAAAGGCAGTTTCTTTGATAACGCAAATAAAATAAATAAATAAAGCAAACGTTTATCTCTTTATCTGGTAATAAATTTTCTATTTAATACATACAATCTTGATACATAGTCTTAACATTGTTTATCGAAAAACTAACTTAATGAACCTTTGTATCTCTTATGTAGAAAGAAAAGTATGCTGAGTCAGCGTACAATCTGATAATATTTTATTATACATATATACGTTTGTAGCAAATTTTGATCAGTTATTATATAGTTATTAGATAGCGAAAGAAATAATTTATTTGGAATATTAATTTTCTTTGCCGAAAATAATTTTGCTAAATCTTGGTGTGCACGCACATAAACACAACATGTGTAATTGTAATACGACACACACATACACATAAATTGTTTTACTAAAATAATAAGTTACTTTCTATTCTATAATTATCAAAGCAATAAAATGACGGTAACATTTACTAGAAATAGATTATTTTAATTACACTTTTTAATTTACATTTATGTTTCTACAAATAAAAATTTATTTAGAAATACATTTTTATTATAGCTAAAGAAAAAATTTTGCTGCAATATTAAATAATTCATTATAATAGCGAAATTTAATTATTTGTCACATGTATATAATAACAGCAATTATGTTACTGATAACTAAGAAAATTTATTTTCTCCGTATAATTATTATATTGAGAAACTTTTTAATAATAATTGTATTATTTAATAATAATAAGATAATGTTCATAATACATTCACATAAGAATTTACTTTATTTCACTCTCGCAAAATGTTTCACTTTCTTACCGTAACAAATTATTATGTATTTATACATTTATTATCATAAAAAATATGATACTTTTTATTAGGAAGATTTTTTTACATTCTTACCTCTAATAATTCAGGTTTATAGAGATTAATAAATGGACTCATGCCTATCCAAAATACAAAGATTCCTTCTTTAAATCGTAGCATACGTTCTGCAGCCCATTGTATGCGTTCTGTAAATAAGCAGATAATCGGATATTTAATATTTAATTTTTAATATATTAATTAATTACATAATATACAATTTAAAATAAATGATGAATTTCTTATTTTAAATTTTTTGTTAAAAATATATAAATAATGTTTATAAAAGTATAATGGCAATATTATTTATAATTCTTCACCATAATCCGTCAGTTTTAAGATTTCAAATGCTATGCCAAAAGGAAATGTGCCACATTGAGGAATATTCTTGAGCTTTTGTCGAAGAACATATTGATGATATATTGTAGATAAGAAGGCAGGAATTATTAAAATAACGAGCACAGCACACAATATCAAAGAGATTAAGTCCATTGTCATAGGCTGTAAACATATTGAATAGTCAGAATTATTCAAATATGTATAAATACATAAATTACTATTTTTTAAAAGTAAAAATACATTATACTCTCTCTCACACATGCACACATATGCACACACATACATATTGACAAATATATCATTGACGATGTTTATATCATTATTATTTACTAATTGGGAATACTTATTAAAAATACTTTTTTATATAAATACATACTGTATATAACATACATATAAATACATATCATCGCTCAAACTCAACTAGGAAATCATGTTAGTAAGAATATTTTATCGGCTAAATATTTCTTGATTGTGTCTGAATGTGTTGATGCAACTCATTTAAATGTAAAATTTATGCTTCTTAATAGAAAAATTCACACTTAATAGAAAACACCGCAATAAATCATATATATTTTATTTCTTTACCGGCTATTCTTTGAAAGAATTTACTGCTTAAATTGTATAAATATTCTCTTTTTAATAATATAAACAATATTAAACATCTAATCTTTAATCAAATGTACATTTATGTAACATGTAAACGCTCTATGATCACGGTTTAATTGTAATATGTAATATATATATGTAATATACGTAATATATGTATAGTCGAATTTCTTTCTTGGAGAATTATGAATTGGAAGATTTTAAATGAAATTAATTTTTTTTGTTCCCAAATAATTACCATAAATTTATGTAATAAATTTACATAATACGCTAAAAAATCGATGAAAAAAAACATTTTGTCATAAAATATCCGATTTTTGTTGAATGAGTTTTTTATTAAATTATATTTCAATTTTACGCAAACTGTGTTTTAAAAGAAAAATAAAAAACAAAACCGAGAATTTTAACTAGGTATATGATACTGGAAAAAATATAAGATTTTGATACTTACTGTTGCAGCTCTTAGCGTTCAAACAACGATGCTTGACCAAAATATTTGATACTTTTAGCTGATTTGGCTGTTTCACTATTAATTATATATCACAGTTTATCATATTTTATATCAAAGAGCGATAGAAAATACTTTTATAAAAAAATAAAAAATTTTTTAAAAGAATTTTTTTTTAAAAAGCAAAAGATTATATGATGTCTCCACTACTTCTTGATTCAAAATTCAATCATGAAATGATACTACGCGATCTGAACGTTACAAACAAATCTTCTGATATTGCGCTACTTGAAATTATAATATATTACGCAATATGTTACAGTTACGTAATATACAATTTTCGTAAAATTGAAATATAATTTAATAAATACTCCCACGATATAATGTACGAAACTGCACTTACTGTAAGTTCTTTCACGAGCTTTTAAATATATTTATTTATTTGAAAAATACTGTATTGTGAATTGATCTTTTATAACAATGAGATACGAAGTAGAAATCATATATATGCCAGCAATAACTTAATTGTCATTTAAATATACATATCTTAGTAATTCTTGAGGAGGAACATTCTAGGAGGAATACAAATGGATCTTAACTACGTCAATAGTTAATAAATTGAATACATTTCAAGATTCATAAATTTGCTCGAAACATATTTTTAAGTTTCTAAAATATAAAATTAATAATTAATTTTATATTTTAAAGTGTCGAAAATACTTGATGCAATGTTAAATTTATGAATCTTGAAATGTATTAAATTTATTAATTTTTTACGTAGCTCATCCGTACAGTTTCATCTTAAGTGCACGTTAAAATGCAACATACACGTGGCAAGTATTATGTCAAACAGTGTGCAATCTCTATTTTCATCGCGTAATGCTAGTGTATCATTTTATTATTCTCGACATCATTATGTTCTTGTATATTGGCGACTTATGGTTGTTTCTCGCCAACTGGTACTTTCCTTTCTTTATTCTCATCAAAAAAAATCAAGTGTTTATAATCGATAATTAATTTTCTATTTAAGATGTCTGCATCGGATATACATTGAAATTTTATAGAAAAGAATTCATTAATTTGAATAAATGTGTTTGATTGGTTTTTTGGTGTTATTTTTTAGTTAAAATATTTAAATATTTAATTTAAATATTTTAATTAAATAAATAATAATGGACTAAACGCATTTAATCAAATTAATGATTTTTGTTCAGTATTGTAAATGTAAAAATTATAAAACTTTTTCTAATAAAACATTGTATTTTATATATGTATTTGCGCAGATATGAAATGCAATGTTTATACATACGAATGTGTATACAAAAAAACAATCAAATTTATCGCGATTTCTGTATATACTAGACAGTGAGGAACATATATTTTTATCATTGGTAGAACAAAAAAAAGCAAATTATTGCAAAACAAGTGAATTTCGATGTAAAACATTATGCATGGAAAAAAATAGATATGTAAACAACATATAACATATAGTACCAGTCAAAAATATATCATCTTTATGTTTTTTGAGGATAACTTAATTTAGTGCATATATTCTTATCTAGTCACACATGTTTTAATAGTAGATATATAGGTTACTAAATAATAGATTTTTTATTCAATAATGAAAACAGCAATTTAAGAAAAATTAAATATTTGCATTTTGGATTAAATTATTTTCAAAAAATATAAAGATGATATATTTTTGGTCGGTACTGTACATGTTAATAATTACTAAATATGAGAAGATAAATATCTTCTTGTATTGTCGCAATATTATATATCAATATAATTGTAAAATCTTACGTAGTATCTAAATTGAGAAATAAATACATACCATTGATTTTTTTTCATGTCTTCGTTACACAATTACAAACTCCTCCTATTTCTCTCTACAGTGCAAGATTGTATGCTGAATGGTGTGAAATTACGTATTCTGAGTACAGACTGTCTTCTTTTCATCAAATTTTTCGTCTGGAACTTTTTCAACTGTCAAATCTCTTTCCTGGCATAAATGTAATTTAAGAAATCAATCAAGTTTACGCCGAAAGTAGAATCGAAAATATGTAAAACAGGAAAGAGTGCGATCCGATAAATATACAAACGTTGTGTGTTTGTGAGAGATTATATCACAGACGTATAATATATAAACCGCGCGTTGCCACCCTCCCCTTTGTTTCAGTAATTTGAAATTTTAGGAAGAGAAAGCTTATATTCATGGTAGTTTCTCTCTCCTTTGCTAACGACGTGAGGGAAAGAAGTCGATCAAGTTAAACGCAGTGGCCATATTAAATTTTTGTTCCATTTTTATTATTGATAGACATAGAAATTAATACCATGAAAAAGCATATTGTTTCCTTTTAAAATTTATATAATTTTTGAGCCAAACGCGAAAGTCTATACATATATTATATGTCTATAAATTATATATAATCTGTAACCTCAAAATCGTAGACATATTGTTACATTTATAAGAAAAGTAATCGCCATGCAAGCGTATTGTCTTCCATCCGTATCACTGACTGGAACTTGGTAAATGAACGGGAAATAGTCGATGTGATTAAAAATTATTTCGAGTTTCGAGGAGCGCAAACAGTATTGCAAATAAAAGGCGTGAAGATTGAAATTCAGGGTGAGATTTGTCGCAGGTTAGTGAATATATTTAATTAGTGAATGTAATAGAATAATTTTAAACCGAAGAGAAATGTGCGTGTGAAATGTCCGAATAACACATCTTTGAATTTGTTGCGCATCACGCGCTTTTCTTTTCTGTTTAAAACATTATAGCTATAAAAATCACTTACCTAACGATAAATCTCACTCTCATTCACGTCTTTTTGCCTTCAAATATTTAATAACAATAATAACTGTGCTCATCTAGATCTTGATATAATTTTAAATCACATCAGCTATTTCTCGTTCGCTTGCTAAACTCCGACTAATGAAAGAAAAATAACAACTCTTGCACAACTACTATCCTTTTCCTCATGTAACAATACATGTTCGTAATCTCAAGGTTGCATGTACAGATTATGTATGATCAATGCCTGTGTTTTATTATCGGATTCATTTTCATATATTGACGAAATCGATTGCGATTCAGTTATTGTTGAATCAACATGATTCGATATTGTTACATTTGACAGACAACAAGGAAATTGGCAGTAGCAACGTGTTTAAAAATTCTCACAAATGAAGAGCATCAAAAAACATTTAATAAAGATGCAATAATTTGACAATCGCATTTTGCTGACATTATGGCACCTTGCTGGTCAATTAAATACGAATAGGGAATTTTCTGTAAAGAAAAAAAAGGATATATAATTTATTTACCTTTCGTATATTCATATCAAAAAAGATTATTTGTAATAATTTTATTTTTTTATTTTCGAATTGGCCATGATTTGGCCATAATTCAACATCGCGCAAAAGAGATGTATTGATATTTGTTTGCTACAACTAATTCATCTGCAAATGTAAATATGCATTTATAGAATGTAGAAAGAAGCTCTGTAAACATAAAAGATCAACATTAATCGTTTGAAAATTCTATTATAAAACCATTGTATATAAAATATCCATCGAATTTTTGCAATGCTACTAATTTTTGCTGCTAATAAACAAGAAAAAAATAAATAATTGGTATCTTAAGATTTATAAAATAATATTGCATTTGATGCTTCATAGCAATTTTTTATTTCCACTTTAATACTAGATTACTATTGGCAATACATACATGTATATATATATACATATATATATATATATATATATATATATATATGTATATACATATATACATATACATATATATATATATATTTTTTAATAATCATTTCATAAGTTTAAATTAAAAAAACATAAAAGATATATAAACATATGTAACGTCATTTACGGAGAAAGTAAATGTCCTTACGTATGTTTATCTCATTTATATTTTATCATTTATGTTTCTTTATTTCAAAACTATAAAATGATTTTTTATTCGATATATTATATTTAAAACGATTTCTAATTCTATATCCTAAAAATACATTTAGAGATTTTAAAAATATTATGTCTATAAAACAATATCTTCATATCTAGCATCTTCGTATCTTCATATATAGCAAATAATGTAGCAATATCTGGCAATGAGATGCAAGACTTGTTAAATTTCTTAAATTTTTTTCGAAGCATTATTCATACGCAATGTAGGCGAATAGATAAATATTACAGCACATTGTCAATAACAATTCAATAACAATATCGATTTAATTAATTGAATGATAAATATGAAAGTACACTTGCAATCCATTTAACTGTTAATGAGTACGCCATATTATTTGTATACCATTCAGAACTAAAACTCAAGAACTAAAACTTCAGAACTAAACTATCCTATCATTTAGCAGAATAGAATGCGTAATTATTTTTCAGGGTAACTTTGACTATCTGATTGACATAAGGAGATAATGCGATAATTACGTAAAATGCACAATGTATTGTCTACTGTGTACTGTGTATTGTGTACTGTGTATTAAACAGGCATTATATGCAATCTATTCTCAAGGCAAAATCATGAAGTAAGAGTAAGGAGACTTAGCTATATAGATCTAAAGTGATAATGAAAAATGTTTCCTGTAGAACTAGAGGTGTATCGAATGGAGTAGCTTATATTTTGTCGCTATCACGAATAATCATATATATATACAGGGTGGATAACTCTGTCCACCTGGAATATCTTCGTTATTTTTACAGATACAAAAATTTTGTATTTATAAAAGTTGTACGGTACCAAGAGGACCGTAATATACTACTAATAATTTTTTTGTAGGTGGAGGCGCTTTAGAGATTTCAAGGTCATCTCCATTTTTTTAAATGGAATCCCTCCTTTTTTATTACCTATTCTTATTACTTATCTCGAGAGCTTTCCAAAACACTATAATAAAATATTTCTTCATTGAGTACTTTTTGAGTTATGAAGCCTTGAAATAATTTCTTAATTTTACATAAACCATAAAATATCTAGTAAAATATTCATTTTTTTATTATCTTACTTTAATACTTTTATATACAAAATAATGAGAAAAATCAATTGGTGTAAAGAAAATATACAATTGTTTTTAAGAAAAAATATGTAATTTGCAATTAACAATTTCATAGGAGACATGAAGAGAAAGACAAGAAGATGAATAAGAATTCTTTCAAGGAGGCATGAAGAGAAAGACAAAAAGATGAATAAGAATTCTTAGAATGCTTCATTTCAATCAAGATCATCAAGATCATCAAGATCATCAAGATCATCAAGATCATTCCTATCGAAAATAATCGCAACTTTGCGCATTGTGTTCTGTATTTAAATCTATAATATGAATTAATCAGCGCAGAAACATCAATAATCTTTAATCAATTTTTCAAATTTCCTGAACTAAATAATCCGCACAAAGTTTGACAAATTGTCAACAATCATAATCGCTTGATCCAACAAAAAATCAGTTATAGGTTTTCGAAATATCTCGAGTTTTATTAGTAATTTAGAAAAATGTGTTAGTTATATATAGTCTCCGCTTTTTTAAATAACTCTTATCCTATTTTCTTTTAATTTTTTCGCAAGATCTAATATCAAGGCTCCAACAAGCATCCTCAGCTCGCAATTTCAATACGTAGGTAAAAACCAATATGACCGAGCCGACCGACCATTTTATTATATTTGATGTTATACAGCAACAATTAAAATAAGAGGTACTTATTGTTAATTCTGATTGAGATATAAAATAATCGTTTATTTATGTTCAACATGTCACAAATTTCTTATCGTACGTACATGCATGTTATGTCAATTTAGTTTTTTACACAAATTTATTTCATATAATTACTTAACGGTAAATATATATATTACTTACATAACGGTAAATATATTGTAAGTATAATTACTAGAGTTTTGTTGAAAGTCAGTTTATTGCAAGTTCCATCGAATTGCAATTATTTTTATACTGAATTCTGATCAATTCTCTGTTAAATGCATTAAGAAAAAAGTAATGTTAAATCGACATCAACGTATAATTGGAATTTAATCTATTAATTCAATAATATTATTAATTAGATCAATACATCAATTCCTAAATCAAAAGCATAATCTGATTAATAATGTTATTGAATAAATAAAATAAATTCGAATTACACTGATGTTATTGATTCAACATTATTTCTTTCTCAGTGTGCATTAGTAATTATTACATAATAAAATAATTAATTCTATGAATTATTTTCATTCAATAATAAGAATACGTAAACGAACGAATGTTGATGAAATTAATATTTAATTAGCGGATGCTTTTTTCGTATCAGACAATACGTTCGTCTATTAGATTAGATATACGAATCTTACATCGATCATGACCTAATGTTCGATTGTTATTCATTTTAAACCAGAATAATAAAAAACGCTTTCTTCGAAATGAGAAACTATGTTAAATGATAGTCTTAATAATAATCATATAGAGATAGACTGAAATGTAGAGAATATGCTAATCTGACTTTTTTGAAATTTTCGAATTATCTTTGCGAAATTTAAAATAAGGATTTTTAAGTCACATTTTCATTTTTTTGTTTTAGACATCTGTCTTGCAGTTTATATATTATCTTCAAAGATGCATTCTGAAGATAATATATAAACTACAAGACAGATGTCTAACAAAAAAATGAAAATGTGACTTAAAAATCAATCCTGAGACAATTTTTACATATTAATTAAATTTAATTTCATCAATCAATTATATTGATTTAAATATGTATATTTATGTGCTTCCATTTTTACATATACATTATTAATTATTTATTGTTAAAACAACATCATTTTCGTAGGAGATAAATTTCTCAAATCATTTATATTCCTTTAAATTATGTCTCTACAATAGTAATTCATATAATATGCTGTATCTGCAACAAGAATAACGAAAAGACATTTAAATTCCGAGAAAGATAATAAAGATTGTGCAACATAAATAGAAATGGGCATTTGCTGGTAAATTAATTATTTCTTTGGCGTGAAATGAATGAATATGTCTTCACTTGGTCGGAAAATAAGATTAGCCCCGTATTCAACTGTATCTGGTTTCTTTATACTTTTTACTCTCCACTTTCTCAAAATAGCTGTTAACAACATTTTCTCTTCGAGTAAAGCAAATCTCCGGCCAATACAGTTCCGTGGTCCAGCACTAAATGGAATGTAGGCGTATGGATTTCTATGCTTTGAATTTTCCGGAAGAAAGCGATCAGGATCAAACTTTTTTGGATCTGGCCAAATTTCCGGGTTTAAATGTACTAATAATATTGCCAATATAACTGTAATACCTTTTGGGAATGTATAATCACCTAAAAAAATTTATTGTTATAGATTGTATTCTGTTCTCTTTCCACACATATGTATATACTTCAAATTTTATATTAATAATTTATGTACATTGTGGCCAATTTTAATCCATCCAGTCGAATATCTCGAAAACCAAGCCTAGGAGAGAAAAATGTTTCAGACAAAAGTTGTTTGGTTTCGAAGGAGCCATAAGATGGTACATTGGTTTGACCTTGAAGAATCACGCGAAGATCACTTCAATTTTTTTAAATGGAATACCCTATATATTTTTATATATTCTTGTATCTCGAGATCTTTCCAAAACACTATAATAAAGTATTTCTTCATTGAATACTTTTTGAGGCTTGAAATAATTTCTTAATTTTACATAAACCATAAAATATCTAGTAAAATATTCATTTTTCAATTATCTTACCTTAATACTTTTATGTACAAAATAATGAGAGGAATCAATTAGTGTAAAGAAAATATACAGTTGTTTTTAAGAAAAAATATGGAATTGTTAATTGCAAATTCATTATTTTGTACATAAAAGTATTAAGGTAAGATAATCGAAAAATGAATATTTTACTAGATATTTTATGATTTATGTAAAATTAAGAAATTATTTCAAGTCTCATAACTCGAAAAGTGCTCGATGAAGAAATACTTTATTATAGTGTTTTGAAAAGCTCTCGAGATAAGCTACAAGAATATGTAAAAATATATAGGGTATTATATTTAAAAAAATTGAAGTAACCTTCGCATGACTTTCCAATGACTCTTCAAGGTCAAACCAATGGTACCATCTTATGACCCCCTCGAAACCAAACAACTTTTATCTGAAACATTTTTTCTCCCGGGCTTGGTTTTCGAGCTCGGTTTAAAAATTATATTTCTGTCTAAAATCCACATTATAATGTTAAATCTAAAATCTAATGTTAAATTTAAAATAGATAATCTGTATGATAATAATTCTAATAAAAGAATTCTATTGTATAATTATTGTTATAATTATTGTATAGTTATTGTATAAAGTCTATTGTAAGTAATAAAGTTATTTTTTTAAAGAATTTAAAACGCGAGATATAAAATGATAAATAAAGTATTATGTTATTACTTTATTATTTTTTGAATTCTGTAAGTGAAAGACTTTAATCTAAAAATTGTTTACTCATTGATCTTTTGCTGCATTTATGTAGCTTTTAATAAATAAAAAATGATACCTCGAAATAAAAACATAGTATCTTCATTATGTAAGTGAAAGTACCTTTAAGAGCAAATTTTAGCACACAAATTTACAAATTGATATAAATATTTTAAGTTTTTCTTTATCTTAATGTTAATAGTTAATGTTAATAGAAAGATTTATATACCAATTTTTACATCTTCCGCTAATTTTCTTGTGATTAGGGGTACACTTGGGAATAATCTGAGCGTTTCCTTTATAATCCTATCGAGATATTTTAATTGCGACAGTTCCTTTACGGTGGCTGGTGTTTCTGAATCTTTGAAAACTTCCTCGAGTTCTTCATGAACTTTTTCTTGATGCTCTAGATTATTGCCCAAAAGAAAGAGCGTCCAAGTTATCGCAACCGCAGTTGTGTCGTGACCCTATATTATTATATATCTTTACTATTTTATAGTACTTATTTATAATTATATTATATTATTAAATCCGGTAAGAAAGAATTTTGCTTTAAATTTCAAAGATTTTTTCTCTCACCTCGAACATGAATGTGTCGACTTGTGCCCGCAATTCATCATCGGTTAACGGAGTTTCGGCCATCTCATTCTGATCTAGTAATAGATCTAGAAAAGTTTTCCTTTTCCGCTTATCTAAAAAAACAAATTTCATAAGAATAATTCAAAAATTTATTAACACAAAACCATTAAAACATATATATATATATATATATATATATATATATATATATATATATAATTATAATTTTATAATCACCTATATCAAGTTCATCATCTTCACTTTCCACTTTGGTAGAACCGTTTTGCGATTGTCGTGTGATCTTTTTTTTACGTATTACCTTAAATTTGTTATTTATTCGTTTGTAAATTTGTTAGATTCATCCAAACAAGAAATAGATTCAATAATTAATTTAATAAAATTCTGCCGACATCTTAATATATCATTAGTGATTTTTTCGCGCATACCTCTCTCGTAAACTTATGGATTATGTTAATCACTGATCTATATTTCTTCCCTGTAGATGTTAAATTGTAGAACCAATCTGACCAAAGCCATGGTCGGTAAAATCGTTCCATTATTAATTCCGATCCTCTAAAAGTATGATAAAAATAATAAAACGTTATACCAACATAACAGCATATTTATGTTATTATGTTCATTAATTAATTACAAATTATGCTGTTAATTTTTAGAAATTTTCTTAAGAACTCATTAATATACCGATTTTATTACTAATAAATTAATTTATGACTCATGACTTTTCAAACCTATGTATTGTTGCAGTATACTTGATTTCTCCTTCTTGAGCATGTACATTCACACCCATTGCCGTTTCTGCAATATAATGACTTAGCATCATCATAAATCTCTCAAAGTATTCTACATTGCTTATTCCAGAGAAGAAATAAAATTGACTTATAAAATTAGACTATCAAAAATAATATAGTAATAATTAAATGTTAAAGCAAACTATAATCCTTTTTTCTAGTAAACATATTTTTTCTAATAAACAACTGTTGCTTTGGTAATATAATAAGTGAATCAATGAATAAATAAGCAACTAATTTATTATAATGAATGAAATCGTCGATTCAAGAAAATTTAAATTTAAGTGTACTTGACAAGTCTATTTATTCATATCTTAGCTCGTAATAGCTTCCTACTGCAGCATAAAGTATTAAAATAATAATATTCTTTTGTGTTCAAGAGAACTATTATACATTATAATAATATAATACATATATATTTATTACCACATATAACATCGAGAGCAGCATTATTAGCGAAAGGAAAAATATTGATAGCCTTCCCTGGATTCTTTGCTATCTCCTTCTCGAGACATTTTATCAAGATTTCTGCTTTTTCGGACATAACCACGGCAAACTGATCCAATATACTAAAATGGAACGTTGGCCCGATCAACTTTCTATCATGGAACCATTGTTTTCCTGAGAAAAGTAGTATCGAACAGTACATTTATTTATTAAAAATATCATATGCCAGATATACGCATACATATTTGTAAATAAGTAAAAATGAAAATATATATTATTATGGGTTTTCTTATTTCGTTATTTATATTTTTTGCATATCGCCAATAAATATTTATAATCTCGGATAAGAAAAATTGCACAAACAACTTAGTAATGTTAATGAAGCTTGCCAATTTAAATAATTAATATTAATATAAAATCAGTCACATAAATTACATAAGTAAATGGAGATATGGATGTGAAAAGATGTGTTTTCTTTTTTTTTATCAAGATATACATATATACAAATTTGCATAATAGTATTAGAATAAAATTTTACTTTTTCGTCTCTTTAGTTTTTTTCGTATTTTTATTTAAAATCTTTTCGAGAATAATCATACATCAAAAATGCATAATATAATATAAACTCAAATTACTTTTCATGTTTAACTAGATATTAAAAATATTCTATAAAAAATAGATTGAAAAAGATTATGGATTTACCTGTAGAAGTTAAAAGTCCTTTGCCTAACCAAGATTCCATCATTTTATATGGATGTCCTTTTGCGATATTTACTGTACTAGACATAATAATCTACAAAGTGAATTTAAAAATAATAGAATCATTTAATAATTTATCATTTATTATATTACATAAAATGTCTTTTCTTCAAATTTTTAATTTTTTCAAAAATAGTATGTAAAAATTTTATTTTATATTTTTAATTCATTTTTTTATGTTATTTCATTATGTTTTTGTCAGTGTATCATTATATTAAGAAATATTCTATATAATATTTTAAAGATGAAACCGATAATTAAGACTAGATTGCTAAAGTGCGTAAATTGCTAACATCAATTTAAAAAATTTAACTTTGATCGTGAACTATCTGCCTCGAAAGGCGAATCAGTTTCTTTGATAATGCTAGTAAAATAAAAGACAAATAAAATAGACGCATGCATCTCTTAGTCTAATAATAAATCTTCTGTTTAATAGTCTTGACACATAGTGTTAGGACTGTTTATGCGGATATCAACTAGAAAATTTAACTTTGATCGTGAACTGTTTTCCTGTTAAAGGCAGTTTCTTTGATAACGCAAATAAAATAAATAAATAAAGCAAACGTTTATCTCTTTACCTGGTAATAAATTTTCTATTTAATACATACAATCTTGATACATAGTCTTAGCACTATTTATCGAAAAACTAACTTAATGAACCTTTGTATCTCTTATGTAGAAAGAAAAGTATGCTGAGTTAGCGTACAATCTGATAATATTTTATTATACATATATACGTCTATAGCAAATTTTGGTCAGTTATTATATAGATAGCGAAAGAAATAATTTATTCGGAATATTAATTTTCTTTGCCAAAAATAATTTTGCTAAATCTTGGTGTGCACGCACATAAACACAACATGTGTAATTGTAATACGACACACACATACACATAAATTGTTTTACTAAAATAATAAATTACATCTTATTTTACAATCATCAAAGCGATAGAATAGCGATAAAATTGATTAGAAATAGATTATTTTATTTTTTAATTTTGTAGACTTATGTTTTTACAAATAAAAATTTATTGAGAAAAAATTTTTTTATTATAGGGAAAGAAAAAATTTTGCGGTAATATTAAATAATTCATTATAATAATAAAATATAATCATTTTTCATATGTATGCAATAGTAGCAATTATATTATTGATAACTAAGAAAATTTATTTTTATCATATAATTATTATATTGAGAAACTTTTCAGTAATTGTATTATTTAATAATAATAAGATAAGATGTATAATGTTTAATTATATACTTATAAAAACTTACTCTATTTCACTCTCGCAAAAAGTTTCACTTTTTTAATAACAAATTATTATGTATTTATACTCTTGTAATCACAAATTATATGATAACTAATACTTTGTACTAAAAAAATACTTTTCATATATTCTTACCTCTAATAATTCAGGTTTATAGAGATTAATGAATGGATTCATGCCTATCCAATGTACGAAAATTCCTTCTTTAAATTGCAGCATACGTTGTATATACCATTTTACTCGGTCTGTAAATAAACATATAATCAGATTTAGTATTTAATTTTTATTATTATTCTGATTATTTACATATTACACTAATTTAAAATAAATACTGAATATTATGTTTCAATTTTTTTATTAAAACTATATAAATAATATTTTTAAAAACAATTTTATTTATAAAATTCTTTACCATAGCTTGTTAATGTTAATAATTCCCATGTCGTGCTAAAAGGAAATCTGCCATATACAGGAATATTTTTGAATTTTTGTCGAAGAACATATTGATGATACGATATCCATATAATTGCAGGGATTATTAAAACAACAAATAGGGTGTATAGTATCAAAGAAATTAAATCCATTCTCGTAACTGTAAATATATTGAACAATTTTTGAATTATCGAATATGTATAAATGCATAAATTATTACTTCTTAAAAATAGATTTATTATGATCGCATGTGCATATATGTACATTAACAAAGATATCATTGACACAATGTTCATTATTTACTAACCGATAGTATTTATTAAAAATATTTTATTTCTGATAACATGACGTTGGATGATGCGTACATATACATATCATCGCTCAAACTCAAATATAAAATCAATATGTGAGAATAATTTATTGGTTAAATATTTACGGTCAAATGTGGAATCTACGTTTCTTAATTTAAAAAAATGTACAGAAACCTCAATAAATTGTTTATATTCCATTTCTCTACCGTTTTTATTCTTCTTTCCACATTTTTCTTTCAATCATATTTTTAAAAGAATTTATTGCTTAAATTATATGTATAATTATTTTTTTAATTAATATTGAACCAATATTAAATATCTAATTTTTGAACTTGAAATGTACGTTTTACATAACAATGTGAGCGCTCTATCATCACTATTTAATATCGTAATATATGTATATAGCGAAATTTTTCTCTTTTGGAGAATTATGTGTCGCGAGATTTTAAATAAAGTTAATTCTGTTCTAAAATAAAAAATTACTTGACATAATTGTATATAATACGCTTTACTTTAAAGAATCAAAACAATGAAAAGGAAAAAACATTTCATCATAAAATATCCGCTCTTTTTAATGAATTTTTTATTAAATCATATTTTAACTATGAGCAAATTACTTTGTGTTTTCAAAATAATAAAAAATAAAATTAAAAGTTTCAACTATATAGTAATATGAAAAATAATAAGATTTCAATACTTACTGTCGCAGCACTTAATTGAAACAATGATGCATAGCCAAGATATTTGACACTGATAGCAGATATCATTTCACAATTAATCACAATTTACTAAGCTTTATAAATATAATGTAATTAAATAATGTAAAAAAATGATAGAGAAGAAGAGAGCGAAAGAGAATAAAATGCTTTTTTAGAAAAAAAGAAGGAAAGAAAAATCTTTTGAAAGAATCTTTTTAAAACAAAGGATTATATGAAATGTCTACTTCTTCTTGATTCAAGATTCAAGCGAAATGTGTATTACGTGCTTCTACAAACGTTTACATGAATATTATGTTTATGATATCATTGTTATTACAAAGTTTTATCATCAAATTATCGTAAAGTTTTTTGCTCTTATGCACTTGATTCCGCAATATACAGTAAGGTCATAACACAAATAAAGTGCATAGTATCAAAGAGATTAAATCCATTCTCATAATCTGTGAATATATTGAACAATTTTTGTGTTACCAAATATGTATAAATGCATAAATTATTATTTCTTAAAATAGATTTATTAGAATCTTAGACACATACATTGACAAAGATCATTGATACAATGTTCATTATTTACTAACTGATAGTATTTATTAAAAATATTTCATTCCTGATAATATGACATTGAATGATGCGTATACATAAATATACATACATATCATCGCATAAATTTGAATATAAAATAAATGTCAGTGAGAATATTTCATCGGTTAAATATTTTAATTCGTTCAAATGTGGAATCTACGTTTCTTAATTTAAAAAGATTTACGAAAACCTTAATAAATTGGTTTTTTTTTATATTCTATTTCTCTACCGTTTCTCTTCTCCTTTCCATATTTTTCTTTCAATGATATTTTTAAAAGAATTTATTGCTTAAATTATATATATAACTATTTTTTTAAATAATATTAAATCAATATTAAATATCTAATCTTTGAACAATGTACGTTTTACATAACAATGTGAGTGCTCTGTCATCACTATTTAATATCGTAATGTATGTATAGCGAAATTTTTCTCTTTTGGAGAATTATGCGTCGCGAGATTTTAAATGAAGTTAATTCTGTCCTAAAATAAAAAAATTACTTGCCATAATTTTGTAATACGCTTTACTTTACAGAATCAATATAGCGAAAAAAGAAAAAAACATTTTATCATAAAATATCCGCTCTTTTTGAATGAGCTTTTTTGTTAAATACATTTTAACTATGCGTAAATTACTTTGTGTTTTCAAAAAAAAATAAAAAATAAAATCAAAAGTTTCAACTATGAAATAGTAATATAAAAAATAATAAGACTTTAATACTTACTGTCGCAGCAATTAATATTGAAACAATGATGCGTGGAGACAACACTTTATGCCTAGCATATGTTACGTAATAAAAAAAAGAAATATAGATCGTCTTACAGTTTAAAATTTAAAAAGTAATCGTTAGAAATAATAATTCAAAGAAAAAATTAAAAAATGGAAAAGCAAGTATAAATACGTACAAATCGCAGTATAAATACGTACAAGCATAAAAAGCAAAGATCGGAGGGAAAAAGTCAGAAATAAAAAATGAAAGAGTGTGATAGCGAGGAAGGCCAAGACACGACTAGATGTGGGAAAAGTAGGAAGCAAAGGAAAGAAGGGGAGAGGGAAAGGAATAAAAAAGGAGAGAAAAAGAAGACGTGAATTTAGGAAGAGAGTAGTGGGGAAGCAGGAGGCTTTGAAAAATGAGAGACATTAATAAGGAAGATAAGAACTATTAAGTAATGCAGGAAGATAAGAACCATTAAGTAATGCAGTGTCACTTTGAATGTTCAGACCGTTTTTTTGTTGCAACATCTCAGATATAAGTCTTCTTTTGCAAGAAGGTTCTTGATCGACTATTGTCGTGTCTTCCCAACTGATTAAAAAACTAATTCTATTATTTATCAGAATAGAATGCGCAATTATTTTTCAGGGTAACTTTGATCATCTGATTGAAATAAGGAGAAGATTACGTAAATATTACGAGTATCACATAAAGTGTACTGTATTAAACGGACATTATATGCAATTTATTTTCAAGGCAAATCAATGAAGTAAGATTAAAGAAGACTTAAAATGGTAACCAAAAACATATAATATCAGGTTCACGGAATAGCTTATAATATTTTGTCGCTATCTTAAATATTCACATATATAGTGTTTCGTTTAATAGTGTCAATGTATTAATAAGTGTACAATGTATAACACAATGTAAAGTTTTATACAATTAAACGTAACACTGCACATATATAATATTCAAGATGACGATGAAATGTTACAAGCTATTTCATTCGATGAAGTTGGCTTCTATACACGAAACATTTTTAGTTATCAACTTTTGTCTCTTTACATTATGTAGTTAAATCTCCTTACTCTAACTTCATGGACAAAACTTATTTTTAACACATTTTAATTTATTATATAACTGTATGAAATTAAATTAAATGATATTATTAAAATATTATTAAAATGAATATTAAAATCGCTATTTAGAATAAAAATATAGACAAGGAGATATAGAGAGAAAGACAAGGAGATGAATAAGAATCCTTAAAATGCTTCATTTTCAAATCAAGATCATTTCTATCAAAAATAATCACAACTTTGCGTATTGTATTTTGTATTTAAATCTATAATATGATTTAATCAGTGCAGAGACATCAATAATCTTTAATCAATTTCCCAAACTTCTTAAACTAAATAATCCGCACGAATTTGACAAATTGCCAATAATCATAATCGCTTGATCCAACAGAAAAATCAGTTACTGGATTCGCGAATTATCTTGAGTTTTATTGGTGATTTAGAAATATATGTGTTAGTTATATAGGCTTCACTTTGTTTGATAACTCTTATTCTATTTTCTTTTAATTTTCTCGAAAGATCCAATATCGAGGCTCCAATGAACATGCTCAGCTTGCAATTTCAATACGCAGGTAAAAACCAATATATGGACCGTGTTTTTTCGATATTTAATTAAAGGTGTTATACAGCAATAATTAAAATAAGATATATTTATTGTTAATTCTGATTAAGATATGAAATAATTGTTTATTTATGTTCAACATGTCATTGAATTTTTTATCGTGCGTACATACATGTTATGTCAGTTTAGTCTTTCGCACAAATTTATTTCACATAATTACTTACTTTCATCGGTAAATATATTATCAGTATAATTAGTATACTAGAGTTTTGTTGAAAATCAGTTTATTGTTTTATCGAACTATTGCAATTATTTTTATACTGAATTCTGATAAATTCTCTGTTAAATGCATTGAGAAAAAAATAATATTAAATCAATATCTTTGCTGACTGGGTATATACTGACTCTGCTTTTTTTATAACTCTTTTCATGATTTTTTCGCAAGATCCAAAATCAAGACTTCAACGAGCATTTTTGGCTTGCGATTTTAATGCGCAAATAAAAACCAACACGTAGACCGAATTTTTTGACATTTGAAAATGTTGTATATAGTTAATGTTATGTATAATTAAAGTGATACTCAGTTATGATTAAAATATGAGATAATTGTTTATGCTCACGCTATCATTAAATTTCTTCTTATCGCGCGCATGTACATGTTATGTCAATTTAGTGTTTCATAAAAACTTATTTGGTATACTTATTTTCAACGGCCAATATATTATTGATTCAAATAGAATTTACTAGAATACTAGAATTTGTGAAAGCCAGTTCATTGCAGGCATACTTTATCGAAATTTTTATCGTTATTTTGGACGGAATTCTGGCAAATTCTCTGTTAAATGCATTGAGAAAAAAATAATGTTGAATTAACAACATTAATGTAAACTGTAAAACAAACACATGACGTTTATGATTAATAATGTTATTGAATTAATAAAATAAATTCCAATTACACTAATATTTTGTTGATTCAACATTATTTTTTCTCAGTGTACATTGGTATAATTATTAAGTAGTAAGATAATTAATACTATGAATTATTATTATATTATTCAATAAGAATACACAAACAAACGAATGTAGCTGAACCTGAAATCTTATTAACGGATGTTTTCTGCATGTCTGTTTCATAGATTAGAAGTTATCTTACATCAATCATGATCTAATGTTCGATCATTATCCAATATAATTCAGAATGATAAAAACTTTCTGCTGAAGTAAGAGATAAATTTGATATTAAATAATTATTTTGATAATAATTCTGTTTAGATATATTGAAGCGTAGTGTGTATCGCTCTGATATTTTTGAAATTTTTCTGAATTATGAATCTTTGCGAAATTTATAATGTAAGAAATTGTATTTTCTTTGGAGATGCACTTCAAAGATAATATAATTATAAAACAGATTTCAAGTGAAAATGAAAATGTGACTCTCTCAGAAATTAATCCTGAGAGAATTTTTACATATTAAAAATTAATTAAATATAAGTTTATCAATCATAACTAATATATCGATTCAAATATAATGTGTATTTATACTATTACTTTCTATATATTATTGATCTCTTGTGTTAAAATAATTATTTATGTAATAAATGTTGTTAATTATGTTCACAAATCATTTATTCCTTTAAGTCTTAACTATATATATAATCTTAATAATAACCTTAACTATAGTAATTCATATATTTCGTACATATATATTTATATACATATATGCTCGATGCTTCGTAAAGAACGTTCAAACGTTTATCTCACTTCATATTACTTAAATACTATATATAAAAACATAATGTATAATACTAGTACTCCATATCCATAACGAAAATAATGATTCAAATTCTGTAAAAGAAAAAGATTATAAAAATTGCGTACGATAAAGAAAAATAGACATTTGTTGTTAAATTGATTATTTCTTTGGCGTGAAATGGATGCATATTTCTTCGCTTGGTCGGAAAATAATAGTTGGCCCAAATTTAACGGCTTCTTTTACACTTTTCACTCTCCACTTTCTCAGAACAGCTGTTAACAACATTTTCTCTTCGAGTAAAGCAAATCTCTGGCCAATACAGTTTCTTGGTCCGGCGCTGAATGGAATGTAGGCATATGGATTCCTGTGTTTTGAATTTTCCGGAAGAAAGCGATCTGGATCGAATTTGTATGGATCTGGCCAAGTATCCGGATTTGTATGCGTTAATGCTATGGCCAACATGACTGTACAATCTTTCGGAAGTATATAATCGCCTAAAATAAAATTGACTGTATATTTTGCTATATAAAATTTTATATTCATTTTTTTTAATATAAATGTTCTTGGAGTCTAATATTTCTGTGTAAAATCCATAATATAATGTTAAATCTACTTTAAAAAATTTACATATACATGATAATCGTGAAAGAATTCTATTTGTATAATAAAGGTATTTGAAAAATTCACACGCGGAGCAAAAATGACAATTAAATTTTATCTTAAATTCTGTCACAAATTAGAGACTGTTTAAAATTGAATTTCAAATTATTGAGCATCACGCAAAACGTTTTAATTTAGCTTTTAATAAATAAGGGAAAAGACAGAAACATTCACTTCATTATTAAAATGCAAATATTATTGTATAATAACGAATTTTACAAATTTATAGGTTAATTTGAATAAGTTAAGATCTTTTTTATCTTTTATATTAATCTTAATATTAAATATATTAATCTTAATATTTAATATTAATAGAAATAAAGTCTTATCATACCCATTTTTACATCTTCCGCTAATTTCCTTGTGATTAAGGGTACACTCGGATATATTCTGAGAGTTTCCTTTATTATCCTATCGAGGTATTTTAATTGCGACAGTTCCTTTACGGTGGCTGGTGTTTCTGAATCTTTGAAAACTTCCTCGAGTTCTTCATGAACTTTTTCTTGATGCTCTAGATTATTGCCCAAAAGAAAGAGTGTCCAAGTTATCGCAACCGCAGTTGTGTCGTGACCCTATATCATTATATATTTTTATTACTCATTTGTAATTATACTCATTTATAATTATACTCATACCTTTATATACTCATTTATACTAATATTATAAACCCTGATAAGAAGTAGTTTCGCTTTAAATTTCAAAGATTTTTTTCTGTTACCTCGAACATGAATGTGTCGACTTGTGCCCTCAGTTCATCATCATTTAACGGAGTTTCGGCCTTCTCATTCTGATCTAGTAATAGATCCAGAAAAGCTTTTCTCTTCCGCTTACCTAACAAAACAAATTTCATAAGAATAATTCAAAAATTTATTAACACAAAACCATTAAAACATATATATAATTATAATTTTATAATCACCTATATCAAGTTCATCATCTTCACTTTCCACTTTGGTAGAACCGTTTTGCGATTGTCGTGTAATCTTTTTTTTACGTATTACCTGAAATTTGTTATTTATTCGTTTGTAAATTTGTTAGATCCAAACAAAAAATAGATTCAACAATTAATTTAATAAAATTCTGCTGATATCTTAATATATCATTAATGTTTTTCTTTTACGCATACCTCTCCCGTAAACTTATGGATTATGTTAATTAGTGATTTATATTTCCTTCCTTGAGGTACTAAATTGTAGAACCAATTTGGCCAATACCATGGTCGAAAAAATCGATCCATTATTAATTTCGAACCTCTAAAAATACGATAAAAATAATAAAATCAACATAACAGCATATTTATGTTATTATGTTCATGATAAAAATAATTAAACCAACATAACAGTATATTTATGTTATTATGTTCATGAATTAATTACAAAATGTGCTATTAGTTTTTACAAAATTTTCTTAATAAGTCATTAATGCTATCATTTTATTACTAATAAATTAACTTATAACTCATGACTTCATGACTTTTCGAACCTATGTATCGTAGCGGTATACTTGGTTTCTTCTTCTTGAGCATGTACATCCACACCCATTGCTGTTTCTGCAAAATAATAACTTAGCATCATCAAATTATAAATCTTTCAATATATTCTACATTGCTTATTCCAGAAAAAAAATAGAATTGATATCTAAAACTATCGAAAATAATATAGTAATAATTATATTTAATGTTAAAGCAATCTCTTTTTCTAAACTTATTTAACCGTTGCTTTGATAGTAAAATAAATGAATAAATAGATGAGCAATTATCTACAAATTATTGTTATGACGAATAAATTTGTCGATTCAACAAAATTAGAATTTAGTATACTTGATAAATCTATTGATATTCATATCCTAATAACTTCCCACTGCAGTATAAAATATACTACATTAATGATATTCTTTTATGTTCAAGAGAAATATCATATATTATAATAATATGATGCATATATATTTATTACCACAGATAACATCGAGAGCAGCATTATTAGTAAAAGGAAAAATATTGATGGCCTTCCCTGGATGTTTTGCTATCTCTTTCTCGAGACATTTTGTCAAGATCTCTGCTTTTTCAGACATAACCACAGCAAATTGATCTAATATACTAAAATGGAACGTTGGTCCGATCAGCTTTCTATCATGGAACCATTGTTTTCCTAAAGTAGTATGAAACATCGATACATTTAAGTAAATGTTATTAAAAACATATGAAAGATAAAGACTATATAGATATTTATAAATAAGAATGAAAAAATTTATTATTATACAGTTTTTTATTTTAATGTTTGTTTTGTATGTTGTTAATAAATATTTATAATAATATCGACAAAAAAATTACACAAACAATTTAGTGATGTTTTAGAACATATCAATTTACATAATTAATATTAATGTAAAATAATAGTAATAAATATTAATGTAAAATCAATTACATAAATAATTGGACATGGATAATAATGTGAAAGAATGTGTCTTTTTTTTCTTTTGCCAGGGTACAGATATATACCAATTTGCATATGTATTAAAGTCAAACTTTACTCATCTTTTTATTTGTTCAAAATACTTTCGAGAATAACCCTATATCAAAAACGCATAATCTAATATAAACTCAAAATTATTTTTTACGAAATATTAAAAATGATCTATAAAAAAATAGACTGAAATTATTTTTTACGAAATATTAAAAATGATCTATAAAAAAATAGACTGAAATAGATTGTGGATTTACCTGTAGATGTTAGAAGTCCTTTGCCTAACCAAGATTCCAGCATATAATAAGGATGTCCTTTCTCAATATTTACGGTGCTGGGCATAATAATCTATAAAAATAAGTTTAAAAATAATATAAATGTATAATAATTTATCACATTCGTTATACAAAATCCCAGGTAACAAGATGACGTCTAAAGACATCTTAATAACGTCTTAATGACGTCATAGACGTCTTTAAGACGTCTTTAAGACGTCTTTAGATGTCATCTTGTTACCTGGGATGTCCTTTCTTTAATTTTTTCAGAAATAATGTCTTGTACACACAAATTTTATTCTAGATTTTTAATTTATTTATTTATTTTAACGCGTTATATACGTTTTTCCTGAATAAATTAGGAGATATTCTTTTCCTTAAATTATGAGATATTCTATATAATATTTTAAATCCATAATAGAGATTGTGATAAAATGTACAAATTAATTTGGAAAGTAAAGTTTGATCGTGAATTATTTCGCACGAAAGGCAAAGGCGTTTTTTTGATAACATAAATAAGATAAAATAGAGTAAATAATAAGAGAGTAAGATAAGATAAAATACAAGTTTATCTCTTATATATATTTTAAATAATGTATCTTCTTTTCATTTTGTATAGATAGTTTCATCACATTTGACCACTATCTAAATGAATTGTTTTGTTTTAGTGTATAAAAAGGGAAATTTACAAATTTGGTAAATATCTTATACTATTGTAGCAAATTTAAATTAATTTATTACATAGATGGCGAAAAAAAAGATTTATTCGGAATTTTAATTTTTTCTGAAATTGAAAATAATTTTGCTAAAGCAGCTTCAGCGTGTGCGCATGCACAAATATACACGCTCATATGCATAATACGAGACACAACATGATATACACATATACAAATAAAATTATTTTGATAAAATAATAAATAATTTTCTACTATATATAAAAGCACGATAAGAAACAATTACTAGAAATATATTATTTTATTTTAACAACGAATTTTTATATTTTTATAAATAAAAATTTATTCAGAAAAAAATTTTCTAATATACCAAAAGAAAGAAATTTTCTGTTAAAAAATTAAAAAATGTAATATAATAATAAAATTTGATCACTTTTCATATGTATGAAAAAGTAATAATTGTGTTATTAACTAATAATTATATATTATTTCATAATAATAATAATAATAATAATAATAATAATAATAATAATAATAATAATAATAATAATAATAATAATAATAATAAAATATTTTTTAATAATACATTTTTAAATCGTTTACTTCCGCAAAAAATTTTGCTTTCTTATAATAATAAATTATTATGTATTTATATAAATTTATCATCGCAAAAAATATAGCAATCGATACTTTACACACTAGCAAAGTTCTTTTCTTTCTTACCTCTAATAATTCAGGTTTATAAATATTAATGAACGGCTTCAGGCCAATCCAATATATGTACATTCCTTCTTTAAGATATCGTAGCATACGTTCAATCATCCATAATATACGTTCTATAAATACATAATCAGATATTTATAGTATTTACTTTTTATTATACTAATTATTTAATTATTATACTGATTTAAAATAAATAACAAATTTTTGTTTTAACTTTTATATATAATATATATATATATATATAAGTGATGTAATTTATATAATTTATAAAAGTATAAATGACAATATCATTCGTAAAGTTTCTCACCATGATCCGTTAAGTTTATTAATTCAAATGCCACTCCAACAGGAAATACGCCGCATTGAGGAATGTTCTTGAGTTTTCGCCGAAGAACACAATAATTATACATTGCCGATAAAAATACTGGTATTATTAAAACAACGAGCACAGCACATAGTATCAAAGAGATTAAGTCCATCGTTGTAGGCTGTAAACATATTAAATAGTTTATGTACGCAAATGCATAAATTATTATTTTTTAGAGTAGAATTATATTGGAATTTCACACACGACATACACAACAAAGATTTGATATTTACATCATTAAATATTTAATGAAGACTTATTGATGTTAATACGATTATATGTGCATATACATATTTACATATCATTGCACAAAGTCGAATAAAATCAATATTGATGGGAATAATTTATCAATGAAATACTTTCTAATTATTTCTAACTCGTTTAAGAGTATCGAATCTATGCTCATTAACAATATTAACAAAAACAATAAATAAATATTTTATATTCCACTTTTGTATGTCATATTTCGGTGATATCTTTAAAAATATTTACTGCTTCAAATGTATAATTTTTCTCTTTTTAATAAAAATTTAAAGATGAGTATTTATAGAATATTCAATCATTTGATTTTCTAATCAAACGTACGTTTGTGCAACAATGTAAATGTTCTATCATTAATGTTTAATTGAAATATATCTATATAACCAAATTTTGGAGAATTATGAACCGCGAGATTTTAAATATACATTTAATTTTGCTTCTAAATAATTATTTGTTATAATTTTACAAAATACACTAAAAAATCGAAATAGTAAAAAAAAATATTATAAAATATCTGCCCTTTGTTTAATAAGTTTTTTTTATTAAATCATATTTTAACTTTGTGTAAATTATTTTGTGTTTTGAAAAAATGAAAAGCGAAATCGAAAATTTTAACTACATGATGCTAAAAAATACAAAATTAATACTTACTGTTGTAGCATTTAACATTCAAGCAACGATATTTGGACAAGATATTGGCATTGTTATTTGGCACTGTTATTTGATGTGTTTCACGATTAGTTATATGTCACAATCATATCATATTTCATACAAATATAATATAATTAAATACAATAAGCTAATCAAAAAAGAGAAAAAA